AAAACATTTGTATGCTGCCCAATTGTGCCACAACACCTTTGGGCAGCTCACAACCACAAGATAAAAACAATAAAAACAGAATAAAAACCAGTAACATGTTAAAAACAACAATAAAATACAGCAAAAAATACAAAACAAAGGTCTTATGGCAATTAGGGGTTTTTTTAGGTCTTCTTAGTTTCGTAAAGAAATGTGAGATTATTTTTATCTGTATGTGAAATTAATTGACATGTTCATAGCTGATTGCTGTCTATAATGTTTTTCATTTGTTGCTTTATTTGAAAGATGTTTTAAGAAAATAACAATTTATATCTTTTCCTTAGGTTCAGCATCTTACATTGCTTAGTCTAGAGTTACATGCTCGAACAAGAAGAGATTTGGAGGCAGATCCTGAATTTGATCCAATCTGTGCTTTATTCTACTGCATCTCATCTGACACACCATTGCCCAGTATTGATAAAAAGGACATCACTGGTGCTATAGTGATTGATAAGGACAGAACAAGAACAATCTCAAGCCAAGGTTCATATTTCATTTTTGTTTTCTTTAGATATTCACTTCAACATTTCGATTTTCATTGTATTCAGGTGTTAAACAATATGATAAATGGAGAGCTGAACAATTTTTGTTAGTGTTTAAATTCATGTCATCTCACTTTAGAGTCATGGGAAGTATAGTAGTGGTTTCCACCTTATATCTTCCTATGAAATTTGCAAGGGCTATAATACTTCAGTATCAACCAGATATATGTTAAACCAGTGTTTAATATTTTGTAGCATGCTCCTGCAGAGTCCTGAAGATATAAAGAGGAAAGCAAGTCTTAGCTGGCAGTCCTCAAAACCCTTGTGCTAGACCAGCTCCTTTTACCTTTGTGGGGCTGTTCAAGAATAGCAGCTTTGGTAATGTGTCAACATTGGTTTAAGCAGAAATAGGAAATTAATTATGTTAAATGTTGCAAAAGGGTTGTTGTATGGTTTTCTCTGATCTTTGTAGGGTCTAAACAGGGCCCTTATTGTATTGTACCTTTCTGGCTTTGTTTAGACCAGTGATACTCAACCTGTGGCTCTAGAGCCGGATGCTCTTGAGGCCCTACAGGCGGCTCTCGCAGTGTAGGCATCTGATCGGCGCTCCACTCTATCAGGCAGCGCGGGGAGCACTGACCAAAGGACCAGCAGTGTGGGAGTCATTGAAGTACCTCCTCCCATAGGAGGAAAGCGAAGGAGCTGCTGGGATCCCCCCCACAGGTAAGAATAGAAAACACCTAAAACCCAGCAGCCATGGGGGAGAGAATGGGGAAACTTCCCTCTTTTTCCCAGCAGCTAGTAGAAAATGGAGTTTATAGTGGTGGGAAAAAGGATGATGTGTCATATAGTATTTCAATAAGTGATGTTTTGCATTGACACAGCACCATCACAATTTACAGTAACATCATGATGCAAACGTTGCAATAGTAATGCTTTGTCTTATTCTCTGCAACAACAATTAATGGTAAAGTGGCTCTCCAGCTGTTAAAGGTTGAGTACCACTGGTTTAGGCTAGTAACCCCCCATAGGATTTGATATTTACCATAAAATATTAAACTATGTGATATGTTTTATTAAATACATTAATGTCTGTCTTTAAAGATCTGAGAAAAATAAATTAAGTATTGTGGCAAAACTTGCATCTTTCATCCACTTTTATTTATAGATATTAAGAAAACTAGTTTCCTGTTCTTACTTTGGTATACTTTGGTAGAATTTTATTTTATATTTTCACTTTTATGATTGATCATTGTGTTAAATTATCCTGACTTTCTGGAGGCTGCCTTGATAAATTCTGAAAAGAGAATGTATGACTCAGACTACATAGCAAAATTTCATTAGATTCAACACATTTTCTTTAGTAAACAGAAGTTGTGCTAACAAGGAATGTTGCAGAGTCCTTCATTTATTAGTATTGAGTGTTGGCGTTTTTCTGTGAAGCATCTATTGGTTTATTTGAGATGTTACTGAAGATCTAGCTTGTGGTTAAATCTTACATGTCTTTAAATCCTACAATCTTTTTAAATTCTAGAAACATATTAGCTAATATTGGGTTTTTATGATAAGCTATGATCAACAAAACAAATTGAAGTTGATGGAAAAGACAGTTCTTCTGTATAGTCTTGACTTAATTTTGCTTCAGAGCCTTTGAGGTTGTTTTGGTTTTGTGTAACTTTCTTTTCATATTTACTTGTAATGGCTTGGATTGATAAGGGTTCTGTCAGTAATTGTTTGGCTTTAACTACTAATTCATTTTAGCAGTTTAAATACTGGATTGTCATGCTTACCTGTACACAGGCAGCAAGGTTTCCTCAAAACTCAAAGTTTAGTTGACCCATTATCCACCACGCAAGCTCTGTGCGTGGTCACTGCTGATCTGTCACTGCCTCAGCATCTTCTGCAAAGTGAAGCTTTCTCATGCTGAGGTACAAAATAACTACCTTCTGCCCCAGACTCTCTTACAATTCTTCTGCTCATACCAAGTATAAGGAACTTGGTAGTCCCTGAAAAATATCAGGGCAAATCACAGGAGGATGCCTTGAAATGTACACCCTGGCCCATGAAGGAAGTTGTATGGAGAGCAGCAGTGGCTGGACACCAAGGCATCATGGTCAGGAAGGTCTGTTGTAAATTCTAATGCAGCCATTTTTTACCCAGCTCTCTGCATGGGGGCTAGCAAGATTTGTACTTTCTACAGAATATGAGTTATGTAGCATTGGTCTTACAAAGTCCTTTAAACATAACTTGTCTATTGTGAGTATAAAAAGCTTCTATTGTTCCTTGAGTCAAGCAGATTATAAACTTGTAACTGCTGAAAATGTATGCATTGCAAAGCTTGTGGGGAGAAGGTAAAAATAAAAATTGCTCAAGAAATTTATTTTCAAATGAGTTTGTTTAGTATCATTTGAATGGGGTGCGGAAAACAAATTTTCCTTCCCAAGGTATCAAAATAAAGCTTGGGGAGGTACCACCAAGTTTTTATTTTGCTAGGTATGTCCTTGAGATAGTTCAGAAACATTTAAGTATTGCAGAGAGCTCTTGAGCCACTTAATATGCAATGTACTTAGTATGGAATAAAGTTCTACAAAATTTATATTTATGACTTCCAACATATCTTTCCAATATGAAATTGCTGTAAACTATTTCATTCTCTGCGAGCAGAAGTGGGGCAAGGCTGTGGGCGTAGGTGAGGAGAGATGTGAACGATGTTAAATAATTTTAATTGTTAATTATTTTTCTTCAGCATAATAGTAATTTTTTTCTAGATATAAAAAGCCTTTTAATTTGCTTTTCAGGTAACAGAGAACATGCTCCTCTACTTACAAGGTCTGGTCTCTCAGGATTGGAAGTCACATATGCTACTGATGAGAGAGCACTTTTCCAGGAGGTAGTGAATATTGTTAAAAGGTAGCACATCTGTGTTCTATTTTTTCCGACTCTGGACTTCTAAATAAGCTTCTTAACTACTAGTCCTCCCTACTTTTCTTTCCCAAAATTTAAAAAGTTTCATTTCTTGGAAATCTCTGCTTTCACTGCTCACAATAGATATATTTATTGTCTAAGATACTTTATGCAACTATCCAAACAAACCTCTCTCATCAATCTTACTGAAGTAATACTATCTCCCAAATATATACCACACTTAAAAGATGCAGGACTTAAAACATATTATAATACAAATAAAAGAAAGCACTGTCATAAGTAGGGTTTCTTTTAACAAATTTGTGGCAAAATTTGTTGTTTTTAGACTTAAATAGGCATAAAAGCTAGGGATGTGATTTTACTTTATTTTATTTTTTACATATTTCTTCTCCCAGTGGGAAACTCTTGCTTTCCAGGTTTGGAAAACTTGGTTGCCCTTTCTTAGTTTCTAACCAATTTTTATAGCACCTTAAGATTATTCATCTATAGAACTTCAGGTGTGTCTTTCTTCAGGTCAACTGCCAAAGCTTCAAAATACTAATGTTACCAAGAAAAATAAACTTAGAGGCATCTGGCTGGAATACATTTCAAGGAAAATGTGTACTAGGCAGAGTACATTTGCAATTCTCTCTTTTTCCAACTAGAAAACTTCTGATGAAATGGCATTGACCAAATCCAGGAATCCAGAATACTAGAGTTGCTGAAAGCAACCAGCACAGGGTGGGTCCTGACGAAGCAGCGGATTCCTGTTCAGAGAAGACAAAATTACAGGTAAGGACATTAATTTTATCTTTCTCTTTTTTGGGAATCCGCTGCTCCGTCTGGCTTAGGAAACAACTTGGAAGTAACAAGCAACTGCTGTTGGTTTGTTTGTTTGTTTTAAAGTTTTTCAGCATTTGGGAAAAGAATCATTTGACTACATGTAAAGATATGACAAAGAACAGCACATTATTACTATTTTTCTTTTTGAAGATCACCAGATGAAGCTTCATTGAATGAAGAAAGCACACTGATTTCTAAAATCTTCATGGTGGACATAACAATTCAGTTTCCACCCGGTAAATGTTTATTGAGGTGCTATATACCTGCTCGCAATCTCTATGCAACAAATGGGGTATAATATATATCATCAAATATTTTGAGTAAAGTATGTTTACTCCTGAAAAATAGCAGTTTATACTGCTTCTGTAAGAAAGTGAACAGGAGACTTTTTAGGCAGCTTTTCCACTTATCATAAAAGTATGTGTCATTTTTGCATTTTGTTGAAATCAATGGGAACTTCTTTCAAGTAAATGCATTCCCAGTTTGGCTGGGATACCTTACTAGGGTCTTAACCTGTCTTTCTCTACTTTCACTCCCAATTATTGGAGGCTAAGATTTGAACTTTAATAGATATTAAACAAAATGGTTTTTGTTTCTAATCATTATGTAATACAAATGCAATTTAACTGAATTAAATAGAAAATCTGTTGATTTGAGAAATTCCTGGTTTGTTAAAGGAATTTGTTTAGTAAGATGTGTAATTACTTCAGTTCTAGTATCATGAAACATTTGTGTTGACCTTTGTAACTAATGCAAAGACTGTAGAAAGTTTCCCATTTCTGGGAAAAGAACTGTAGGAAGGAGTCCTTTGACACAGAGTTGGCCTGAACATCTCTAGATAGCATTACAAGCACTACTCTACAATGAGCCTCAAGTTTTTACACTTCTGTCCCACTATGGCATGGTCACAATGAACCATTTTTTAAATTATTAACAGTGACTTGTGTAGTTCATACATGACAAACTATGCTTAATCTTTATCATCATCAATGGAAATATGACAGTTTCAAAATACTGTTTACAAATGTTTCTCGTTCCCATGAACTATTATTAATGTTAATCATAGTTTAGGGTTTGGAAGAAGTACTAACTATGGCTGGTAGAGTCTTCTCATAACTGCCTTGGAAGATAAAAGGGATGAATGAGCAAATCCACAGCTTATCAATTCTCAATTACAGTTTATCACCATGTGCTCCAAGTAAATACCTGAATCTGTCATAGTTTAATTTTTCATTCTCTGAAATAACTCAAGAATATAATGTAAATATAGTTCTGGGCAATCTAATAAATAAACCCAGTAATGTATCACTTGAACTAACAGTGGTATATCCTTGGTGATTCCCAAATGGAACAGATTTCTTGAATTTCATTCCATTTGCTGGTAATTTATGATGGAATGAAGAAACTCTGCTAGCTGGAGATGCCCACAGTAATGCATTAAGATTGCTCAAGTACTAAGCCAGGGGTCTTCAAACTATGGCCCACAGGCTGGATACGGCCTGCCATAGCTTACCACATGCGTGCACGCACATGCGCACCATGCCGAGGCGCCAGTTTGCTTGCAAAGAAATCGAGTCCAAAACTGTTTTCTTGCGAGCAAGCTGGTGTCTTGCCATGTGCAGGGCGGGGTGCTGGCTTGCTCACAAGGAGATCGTTTTGGAGAGAACAATCTCTGTGCATTCATGCCCCTGCCTTGTCACGCGTGTGCATCCCTGCCAGAAGCTCCTCAGCTTGATGGCTGAGATCAGGTAACTATTGTAGAGTGGGAGAAGCAGGGAAGTGAAGTTCACCTCCATGCTCCTGACTTGCTTAGGATGCTCATAACACTTAGGATATCCAGGTTTGGAGGCTTATGAGCTTTCTCATTGGAATGCATGCTAAACCTATGCATTTTTTCCAAAATGTAATCCCAGGAGTAGTTATTCTAGATCAGGGGTCTCAAATTCGTGACCCGCAGGCCAATTGCCGGGACGGGCAGGGCAAGGGGGAGGGGCCCTGTGGCTTCAAAGCACCGGTAGCGCCCGGGCCGGCCGTGGGATGAGCGGCCCACCACCACTGCAGTGGTGGAATACTTGATGCGGCCCAGCCTCACCCAGACTTTACTTCCAGCGGCCGCCAGGTAAGTTGAGTTTGAGACCCCTGTTCTAGACATTCTGCTTTTAAAAACCTGGTACAATTAAGTAAAACCATAGAGATCTGAACGAACAATCAAATGAAGTGACTTGCTAGAGTTTGCTGCGATACTATTACATATAAAGCATGAATATATTCCCTGATGTGGTGGTTACATTAGAAACATAGACATAGAAACAGAGTGAGTCAAAAGGGATCTCCTGGGCCATCTAGTCTGACCCCCAGCTCCAGCTGGCTCCACTCATGCCTACCATGTGCATGTCCAGCCTGTGCTTAAACACCCTCACTGTTGGGGGTTCTACCATCTCCCAGGGAAGCCCATTCCATACCCTAGAGGTCCTAACTGTCAGGAAGTACTTCCTGGCATCCACCCATCTACTTTAAACGACTACATTAAAAATAACAAAACAAAACAGTGTTCTGACACACATTTGCACAGATGAAGTGAACAATTGTTTGGATTAGTGATAGCATGAAACAGTAAATGCCACTAGAGTTTCAGTTCCACATAAACCTCTATTTCAGTCTCTGCCTAATTTGGCCAAGATTTGACAAAGCTTTCTGTGAGCAGACAGAATAAAGATTTATAAAACTTCACAGGATGCATAGATAGGTCTGAACATTTTTCCATCTACCTTCCTGTTCCTTACTTTGAAGGACAGTGCCTCATCAGTATCACAGACAGGAGTCTTTCCCATCATCAAGTACCAGAGTTCCTTTTAACTTAAGATTTTTGAGTTTTGCAATGTCTGTATATAAACCAAATGTACTACTATTAATCCATGGTTCCTATCCATTATAACATATTTTCACAAGAATTCAAGATGATAACAACTGTTATAAAAATGCTGGCACTATCCTTTCAACTGTGGATATTTTCCTGGATTCTTTTGACCATATTGAAGAAAAACTGAAAATGATGGCATCCATATGATAAAATTTTTCAAAAATCTGATGAATTAATTTAAAAATGGAAAACTGTATTTTTATAAAAAGGAAACAACACTAGTTTCTATTTGAAACATCTATATTTAAGAATCTGAAAATATTTTGACAAATCAAAAAAACCTTAACATTACTAATGGATGATTCTTGCCAAGTAATTTTCTACGCATTTGAATGCCCTGCAGTTTCTTCTAGCATAAATCATACAATTTAGAAAAGATTTTCTAAGGAAAAGGAATATCAGCTATTTAAACAGGGCTCAGGAGGAGCAACAGCCACTTGGGCCCATGGTACACTTGTCTAGGACAGGTTCACAAGTTTGAATACTGTTGCACTGTGAAGTGGCTTCCAGAACAGAATCAGGTAGATGCCTAAAAATACTAAGTCCTCATTTAAAAAAGACTTCTAGTCAGGATATTCAAAACAAAATATACACAAAAAGAAAGAATCAAGAAATGTGATAACTATATTGTTTTTTGTTATTTTTTTCCGAGCTGCAAAATTAAAATCCTGTAGAATGTTTGAAACCAATTGCAGCCTTCCAGTTAACAGTCTTCACTATATATGATAGCTAGTCTAGAGAGATTTATTAGTCCATCAGTCATGAGGTTCATGAGGACAATCTAGAATATTTATTAAATAGCCAAGGCTCTCTGGGCAGTTAATGACAGACCAAGCTCTTGAAAAGAATTAAGACGATTTTCCCCCCAGTGAAATAATGAACGACTGGTAATGTCTTAGGTGACAAGAATGCTCTCCCCCATGTCCTCCCCAGCCCTGGTCCTTTGCTCATAAGGTGACAAGAAAGTGGAAGAGTTAGTTAAAATTATACAGATGATTATTTTATAGATACCTGCCACAATATTTGGCAGAATTATTTCATGTCAGGTTAGAGACTGCTTCTTAAGTGGTTTGCCCAGGCCTTTTCTGAAAAAAAGCCTTAGAAACCTTGTTGCATGGGAAAAATCAACTGGGTGTGGGATGTCATATTACAGAAAAACTCAGGTGGAAAGAATAAGCATGAAATTACAGCAAACTAAGTTTGATACATGGTATGTTAACTTTACTCAGGGATCTAAGGAATACTTATGACTTCTTGCTATGTGAGAAATTGTGCACATTCTTCCATCAGTAATGCATCTAAATCAGACCTCAGAGGTGGTTAATTTGTACTCAGACCTCAGAGGTAGTTAATCTGTACTTGGGATTCATTTTCTATATAGACAGAATATTTTGTATGAAGCATACTTGATATGGTACAGTCCTGATACAGGTATACAATTTCGGTACTGTTTGTTCTTTGTGTTTTCATTCTGATTTCATTCTGATTATAAATATTCCTTAGTTTCTGGATAAGTACATGCAAAATAGTTTTTGAAACATGTACCCTCATTTATCCCACTATGCCAATAATTCTATCTAATGTTTTACTGGCAAACCTTAACCTATGTCACCAGGCAACTCAACAATTGTTGCTGTGAGAAAAACCTACTTAAACTTTGAGAGAAATACTTTATCACACCTGAACACAGATCACGGAGGGCTCCAATAGTACCTTGCTTGTGAGAACTAGAGCTTCCACATGGTGATTATTTACATGATTTATATGATTGTTCCCCTATCTTTTTATTTTAACTACACTGATGACACAAATCACAACTATATGTAAAAGCCCCATATGGAATCTCTAGTTATCTTTCTGCCTAAATGTTGCCAGTAACAGCCCTACTGTGTCCATTGTATCTGTGCCAGGCAAATGATTTCTTAAGTAGAAGTCAAAGAATCATGTAACTAGTTTGTGTGACTATTGACTTGGGCTTTTAACTGCTGTATAATGAATAGCAATCTTTCCATTATATATGGCACATCCTTTTAAAAACTGAGGAGCTTATGTTATGGCATAACGATCCTCAGTTTTAAAGAAAAAAAGACAAATTATATTGAGCAAGCCTAAAATTGTTCTTTGAATTCCAGGCACTATAAACTAGTCTTCTTTAACATAATGCCCTTCTTGGGCTTTAAAGTCTTGGGCTTTAACTGGTGTCAGCCTCAGTAAGCATAGCCAGTGATGAGCGATGGTGGCAGTTGCAGCCCAAACCATCCAGAGGGCTTCAAGTTGGGGAAGCCTAAAAAAATGGGAATAACAGATTGCCTCATGAAGTTGTTTTGAACACATTAAAATGCTATATAAAAGTCTGTGGATTGCAATAGTAATGCTGCTGAGCTCTTTTCAAGGTATGTATTGTGAAAATGAAATGTGCATCACATTTTCACAAGACCGATGAAGGTAAGGAAAAGTGTAATTCATTTTACACATTTGATGGAGTGAGGAGTATCCATGAAAGCTTGTGTCAAAGTAACCGCTAACATTTAAGGAGCCACAAGACATATGTTGTATTGCTGCACCAGACTAAAATATCTATTCCCCCCTCACCCCAGAAATAGTTCATGGTATCAGCATGAGTAAGCATGGTCTATATTAAGCAGGGGTCCTCAAACTTTTTAAACAGGGGACCAGTTCACTGTCCCTCAGACTGTTGGAGGGCCAGACTATAGTTTGAAAAAAATATGAACGAATTCCTATGCACACCACACATTAAAAATTAATTAAAAAGAAGTAGCATTTAAAATTAATTAAAATTAGAATTAATTAAAATAATTAACATTTAAAAATTAACTAAAATTTAAAATGTTTGCTCCGCTCCCTCAGGCTGCAGCAGAAGCCCAAGATGAGGTGGGAAAGAGCCCAAGCTGTGGGCAAGCTGTGGCCGCCTCACTGAGCCCAGGAGCAGCCGCTTGACGGCAGCAGTGGCGGCTCCCCCATAGAAGGCTGCAGTTCCCACGCCTCCGCTGCAACCTGCAGCCGCCTTGCCAAGCCCAGGGGCTGCCTTCTATGGGTGAGCCACCACTGCCGTCAAGCGGCTACCCCCGGGCTCAGCAAGGGACATGGCTCACATAATTAAAAATATTTTTTAAATGTTATATTTTTCTTACCTTCAATCTTTTTTAGTGTCTTTGTCTCTCTCTCTCTCTTCCACCCTCCTCCCTTCTGTTTCCCGCTCCGTATTCCTCTGTATATTCATGCAGTGGGGTGGAGGGGGCAGGCGCACACGCAGTTGAGCTTTTACAATTAGGTGCGTGTGTCAGCTCTCTTCTCAGTTTCAAAGAAAGCCTGCACCAGCTCAGAGCTTTTGGACTCACTCAGAGATCGTTTTCTTCAAGCAAGTTTAAAAGCTCTGAGGCAGGCCAGGTGAATGAGCATGGCAGGCTGTAGCCGGCCCACAGGCCGTAGTTTAAGGACCCATGATGTTAAGTGTAGGCTTCCAAAAATAGTATAGCACTAAGATAGCAGGGGTACTTTTTCATTTCAAACTATGTATTTGTGTATTGGAATTACATGAATAATTCCTACTGTAAAGCTGTGCTTTTTTCCATAAAGCACATTTTATGTATTGTAGAATAGCTATTCACATCTTTCAGAAACAATTATTATTTTTCTCTGCCCTTTCCCAGAAATCCTTTCGGGAGTGGGGGCTGTATCTCTGTAGTGCTGAAAAGAAGAGTAGGAACTGGTAGACTCTAAATTCATTCTCTTCCCTCTGGACCCCCCATGTTCCAAATGCCTGCACCACCCACCATCACAAGTAAATTGGGCACTAATAATTGATGTTCATAATTGTTTAATAGAATATTTAATAGAATATCTGCAAGTGCTAGAACTCATCTAGAGAAATATCATATACAATACTTTAAACCTGAGGTTGTGTACAAGCTTCTGTGTGATGTATGGAATTACACTTAGTAAATGGCTAACTAAATATAACATTTTTACCCAGCCCATCAACTTTGCAAAGTTCTGCTTATCTAGTACAACAGATGTATGTGATAAAACCTCTTCCATGCAGGTTGTGCTTTCTAGATCTGGAGGTGTGTTTGTTTCTATGCTCTTTGAAATAAAGTTAGCAGGACAAATTTATCAGAGATTTAAATTCAGTATATAAATTATTAGACATTTAAATGGTTATTTCTATGAAGAAATATATTTTCTCTTTTAGGTACGATCCTGATATTTTATTAGGCTATGAAGTCCAAATGCATTCTTGGGGTTACCTCTTACACAGAGCAGCTGCCCTTGGTGTTGATTTATGCCAGATGATCTCTCGTGTTCCAGGTATGTTTGGGGTTCTAACATTACAAGTCATTGCAACAAGCTGCAATTTTAATTTGTATATAAAGCCATTAACATTTTTATGCTTGCCTCATTTTACTACTTTCTGAAATGTGTGCAGCTGTGTGTGCTGCCTGCGTTCAAGCCCTTTCTAGCAAGGTGGTACACAATCAGCTTAGTACAGGACCTTTCCATTTGCTGCTAAAGAATTTTTTTTAATACTATTAGAATAATGAACAAATCTTTTTCTTTAAGAACATGGATAACAGGCTATCAGTATAGCTGTAACAAGAATGTTAGACAATGGCATTTGGGGCATATGTAAACAGGAGTGGGAGAAGGCAAACCTAACTATGGCATAAGTTGTGGCATATGGCAAAATAATAGGTCACTATTTTCCTGGTGTATTGTTTCACACTCATTATTTTCTTTTAATAAATATATCCTTGGATTTCATTGCAGTGTTGATTAAGCTGTTAGAATATTCTCCATTTATTGTTTTAGATGATAAGAAAGAAAATAGATTTGCTTCAGATCAAGATGAATATGGGGCTGATACAATGAGTGAAATAAACATTGTTGGACGGGTTGTACTAAATATCTGGAGAATTATGCGAAATGAGGTAAAGTCTAACAAAATTGGATTGAGGATTGCCGAAGGCTGATATGTAATTAAATTGATCTATAGAATTTATTTATTTATTATTTATTAAAACATTTTTATGCTGCCCCATTCGCCGAAGCCTCGGGGCGGCTTACAACAATAAATTACAATAAATATAAACATTAAAAATCCAACAATCTTGACTTCAATTATTTATGCATTGTTTACAACATCAAAACAAAATATTTTAAACAATTTTCCAGAGAAGTGGCCATGCTTGTTGCAGCACAAGCAGCAAATAATCTTATAGCACCTTAAAGCAAATACATTTATTCTAGCATAAGCTTTGTGGACGCTGTATTTCTGAAAAGTAAATCTGATTAAATGAACAGTGTTCATATAAGCTGAATAAATGTATTAGTTTTTACATTATTTAAGACTCTTGCTATTTTTACTTTAAAATAATCCACTTCCTATACTTTCCATTTTATGTAGCTTTACAAATTTGTATCTCCTTTTCCCCACCTAGAATATTCATATGCTTCTGTCAATATAAGAAATATGGAATCTGTTGAAATATTTTGATGTCTGTGGTTTTCTATTATCTTGTTTATTATTGCTAAGGGGTTCCTTGTAGAGTCATGCGGACAGAAGGTAGTTAAAAGAAGTATATTTCCTTGCCACCCCCACCCTTCCTTTCAGCTCCCTGCAAATGCTACATACAGGGTTGATGAAATTTCCTAAATGGGGTCAGCAATGGTACAGGAGGATGAGGAGGAAGGAGAATCTCTAAAGATCAGCCAGCAGTCAGAGTGGAAGCTCTTCCTCTTAGTAGAATTTGGCTGTTAGCTAACATCTGTCCTCTGTGTATTCCGCTCAACCAACCTTTTCTCCGTGTTTCATGGCCAGGTTTAGTTTTAAGCAATTGCAGTCTACTAACCAAATTTCTGAGTTTCTTTATCTGCAGAAGCCCTTGTGTTGCTTCCAGCTTAAATATTTATTTTTGCCTTTTTGTAATGGTAAATAGAGAGCCCCGTGCTATCCAAAAGACTAGCATTCATTGACTGGGTTTCCACAATACAAAACCAATCATGGGTTGCTCGCTGTGATGGATTGTCATGTCACATGAACCTGGACCAATTTTCCTAGGGTGGCTTCTTCATGGACAACAAGCTATTCTAGTAACCTATAAAGTTGTGACCATTTTTAACCCATTCCCTGCACTGGTGTACTTGTCACTTTCCTGACCCCACCACCACCACAGCTTTGGGTACAGATAATATAAGCATGTGATCATACAAGGTTTTTTCTTGTTTTAGGTGGCTCTAACTAACTATAGCTTTGAAAATGTGGGCTTTCATATACTCCATGAGCGTTTTCCACTTTTTACTTCTCGTGTTCTGTCTGACTGGTTTGACAACAAGGCAGATGTCTACAGGTAATTGCCCATTTTCTGAGCATTTTGGAGTATGCTTCCTGATACAAAATGTAATTCTTTATGTATCTTTAAAAATTGGATGAAAAACTTAATTGGCAAGGAAAAATGAAAGCAAGTTGCCTCCTGGTAGATGATTAATAAATATGCTATCAATCTTGGGCAAAATCCAACTTTTTATTCACATCATTATTCTTCATGGTCTCTGTGCATCAGACATGTGGTCTCTGCATGCATGTGTGGAGCTGTTTCAGAAAGAACAACTTGCAAAGTTGTTCATTTCTCTACTACTTCTCAGACTCCTGTAATACCAGTTTTTTTTCTCACTTCTCACTAGAAGCAAGAAAAGAAAAAAATATATTATCCTTGCCTCTTCTCTCCCTTACTGCAGCTTCGTCAAACAAAGTGGTGCTTAAAGCCCCGTTCCACAATTGCGTGACATGTGGCAGTAAACTTCCTCCTACATACAGCCATGCCCCGTGCCTCTATTGTCTGAAAGAAACTCATGTCATTGACCCCTGCTACTATTGCCAGGCTTTCACCAAACAGGCGAGAAAACAAATTGTGGAGCTATGCCCTCCATGTGGATGATGCCCAACTGTCCACCTCAGGTGCTCCTATTTCCACTAATAAGGAGGAAAAGTTAGACCCTCCTCCTAAAATAGTAAACTTCCTAAAACAGTAAACTTGAAAAAAAGCAGACAAAAATAGCAAGGCTCCAAAACTGCTCGCCCTTACTAAGGAAAAAGAGAGCCGTAAACATGCTCAAACACGCACGGACATTCCGCCTATTCCTGGCCTCCTGTGTACCAACACAAGACCTGAGCCAACCTTCTGTTTTACACCAAAACCAATACAGGAACCTCATTCTCAGCCTCTGAAAACTACTTTGGGCTTGGTAGGTGAAATCCGCAATCCATCTCCAGCAGTCTTGCTACAGCCAGACCTGGTCTTGGAACGGAGACACATATTTCCTGTACCTTTGAATCTGAGTGCCTTCCTCCATACCAAGCAACCTCGATCTCACTACTGCTCTCAATCTCCAGCCTCCTCTGACAAAGTCCGCAAAACTCATTGAACACCCCTCCACCTCATGGAGACTTTGATACAGAGTATTGTAGAGAGTGCTGATGCTCAGCCAACTCCAGGCAAGGAGGATCTTATTGAAGCCCTAACAGATCTGACCCATATTCCTCTCAGCTTGGACCCAGTTTTGCTGTTCTGCCTTCCAGGCTTTCTGCAGATCCTAGACAAATAGCTTCATCCGTGACAGTCTGTCTCACCGTAGCTTGCCCAGCCATTAATCAGACTTGACTGAACATACTCGCTCCAAACATGAACACTATACATCTGTCTCAGTCATACCTTCTCCGGACCAATGCTCCGATATGCCCCAAAATACATTGGTACTGACATGCGATTTTTCTCACACTCCAGAATACTCCAGTCTTTTTTTTCTTTTTTCTTTTGCTCAAGTCCTCCATATGGCACATAGCCCTGGACTCAATCCTAGACAAGAGCCTAGCAGGACAGAAGACATGCTTTTTGAGGTGGTATGTGCCAAGACAGCTGGACCAGTTACTATCCCACACTTACCCACACTCCTTGGCACAATCCGCCGTGAGTGGAAATCACTCAGCAGCAGCCCCTTTGTCACGCTAGGCATGTCTATGGGCTGGCCTGTGGCTGAATATTAATCCATCAGCTTTGGAATCTTCCTGAAACAGTTCCACACATGCGCACAAAGCCCACATGTGTGAATGCACAGATGACCACTCAAAAAACTACAGTAACAGGCAAGGAAACCTGCCTTTCAGTTCTCTACCACTTAAGTCAAATATTATACCACTGCTGCATGATCAGCTCCCTGTCTTATCAGGTAGAATTTGTAGTGGATCAAGTGGATACTTCCACAGTCTCAGTGCAGGTAACACTTGTGTGAGAATTATTCATTACTGATAATGATTCTGAACGTCAGACATTACTCACATAAAGTGACCACAGGAGTGACTGTAAGGGTAGTATGTAAACTAGGCCTTAGCAATGCCATATCTCAGGTGCAGCAAAATTTCATGGTGCAGTTTTCTTTCTGGTGTATCCATATATCTTATATTAATTGATGCATTTCTATTCATTAACTCAGTGAATAACTCAAAATGACTAAGGCTTATAAATGAATCTTGGTGGGAGAGATGGGCCTCTTTTAGGCATCTCTGCACCCAGCAGCAGCTCCTTTGGCTCTTGCCAGGCTCCCTGCTCCTCCTGATTTTTAAGGAAATTAAAGATTTTTCTTGATTATTTTAGTTTAAATCAGGAGGCTAGTGTGTTCCAAAGCCACATGCTGGCTTTATTTCCAAGAATGTCTCTGAGTTCCATGTGGGAATTTCCTGATAGGTATTTGCAGTTGGCATATATTCATTTTTATTAATGAACTTATGAAATTAATTCCAGAGAAAAGATAAAGCACTGGAAAAATTTCCACCCTGATCACTGTATAGATGTCAGGCTTAATCATGACTGTGTCATCAAAACAAGTGTCGAGGCTTCAGATTCTTTTGCATTTGATGGCCATAGCAGAGCCAGGGAACAGCATTATATGGTCCTTCATCTTACTGAGAACATTCACAAACTGTTGATTATGACCTTCAAACATTTTTAAGAATATTAATTTGTGTTCAGATTCAGTAGTTTTTTATGTGTTTGTGGTTTGATTTCAAAGGTGGAAAATGGTTGATTATTATACTTGCCGTGTTCGTGGGAATGTTCAACTGTTAGAACAAGTGGACTTGATTGGCCGAACAAGTGAAATGGCACGACTATTTGGAATTCAGTTTTTGCACGTTTTAACAAGGGGATCACAAGTAAGCTTTCCTGAAACTTTTTGAAAAATCAACATGTCTTTTTTTTATTTTGGGGAAAATGTGGTAAATACAAATTCAAGTTGGTCTTAAAGTTAAACTGTCTAGGTAGGACTCAGATTTCAAGAAATAAGTAATTCTCAGAGGTGGTCTATTTTGCATCTTTGAGAAGGGTCAATATTTCATAGGCAGGTCTAATCATAAAAAAAAATCCTCCTGAATAAGTTCTGGGATATCTATCTTTTCTCTTTTTATCTGATACCTTTTCTCTGGCAGCTACTGCTAGCCGTACTCCACTCCACTCTCCTGCTCACTATTACTGTTCTGTGAAGGAGGCCATTTATAAAGGCTTTCTCCATTCATTCTTGTATTTCAAAGTTTAATCTCTACCCATGCTAACAGAAGCTACAGCCAATGGGTATAGCTCAAGTTCACTGATGTTACATCTCATAGTCAATGAAACATTCCTAGTATCAAAATTGTGGTATTGGGGGCTCTTTGTTAATACTATAGCTGTGAATGGAGAGTTTCTGAATAATTTAGAATGAGGCAAGAGAGGTGCACAGAATAACCAGAGAGCTGACTTTAGACCAGAGGATCCAAATTCTGAACATAGGAGTCAGTGCAAGGAAGGTGCCATCTGGGAAAGATACTAGAAATCCTGTTGCTTCTAGTCTTTCTGTTTGTTAGGGTAAGAATATGAAATATTAGTCATTCCAGTACAGTGTTGAAAAATGAATATAGAGTCTTAAAATTTGATCAGTAATTAATGTTTTTCCTTTGTAGTACCGTGTGGAATCAATGATGTTACGTATTGCTAAACCAATGAATTACATTGCTGTGACACCCAGTGTCCAGCAGCGAGCTCAGATGAGAGCACCTCAGTGCATCCCTTTAATAATGGAGCCAGAGTCCCGCTTCTACAGTAATGCTGTCCTTGTTCTTGATTTTCAATCTTTATACCCGTCTATAGTGATAGCATACAACTACTGTTTTTCCACATGTTTGGGGCATGTTGAGAACTTGGGGAAGTAAGTATTAATCATTTAAATCTCTGTGCAGTTTTTCTGTTGACTATGTCAAAAGAAAAATGTATTTGTCCACGTGCAGACACACATGTACACATACAGGTAGAGAAAAACAAAAATAAGAGTTCCTAAACACTTAAACATCTGAAGGACCACGACTTATTCACGCTTGCATTAATTAAGAGAGAAAACATTTTTCTTAGCCCTATGTTTGGCAAGCTGGAAATTGTAGGGCTTTTTGTGTCTAAACATTCATTGCACTTTTGTTGAACCTTAATGTGTTAACTGATGATTTCTGAAGTATGTCCTTTATCTGTTCTCACAGCAAAAAATCTGCAAAAAATACTGTAGAAATGTAGCCTTCTAGTAACGGTGTGGTAAGAAGCCCATGGTTGTTGTAAACCACACAGAGATCTTCAGCTATGGAACTATTCCAAAGTGAAGTAAATGATAATTAAAATGCTAGTGCTGGTTTGGTAGTTTGTGGAATCATTTGTATAAACAAAGTAATTGCTTAATGCTTATATATTACCTGGTATCACTCCTGTGCTTTATTTGATCCCTAATGTCAGGGATCAAAACTCTGTAAAATAAAGAAAATCTGGTAACTTTTCACATTATTTAAAAAGTGGACATGACCTATTTATCTGGAAGAAAGCAAGAACCTAGAAGGGTACTAGAAAGCACTTTTTCTGTGTGAAACTTGAGCAGTTTTTAGTGCTGTTGTTGCTGTCATTTCTGGTATCAAGTTAAGACCATCCAATTTTCTCAAGTATGTATTTTGTGCTGCTAGTTTATTCTTGTTTTAGTTCATGTATTTTATTATAAAGTTTTCATGAATAGATAAAGGATAAAATCCTTAATAATTAAAAATGAACAAAAAGATGGTAAGCATGTGAAGAGCTGAAAGATGGGCAAACATGAGAAAGGAGGTACTTCTTAAAATGGGGTTATGCTGGAGCTTGAAACAGGCTGAGCAATATGGAGCATGTACAGAGCAATTAAATCATGTATTATACTGCTGTGGAAAGCTCATGGAAAGCTCTCATCTGGTAATATGGACTAGCGGTCATACTTGGCCTATATTGTTCCTGAAGACTAAGTTCCCTTTCTCTTATTTTTAGACACGATGAATTTAAATTTGGCTGCACATCTTTGAGAGTATCTCCTGATTTACTATATCGGCTTCGGCATGATATCACAGTGTCACCCAGTGGAATTGCATTTGTCAAGGTAATATTTCATTCAAAATGGTAAAGTACTGACAACCAGCTTGGGGTTTTGCTTATGTTACTTTATTTTTTTCCTGCATTTCTGATACAGCAATACAAGCATTCAAGTAAAATCTTAAAAGCACTAAGTATATTAATAAACAGACAGCAGCATATACAGTATATATCTGGAAAAAATAGCTCTCAGGAGCCAATAAATTAAATTTAAAAACTGTTTTCATGCCCTTCTAAAATAAACCTAGATGTATCTTGCCTCAAAAGAATGTGGCATCCACTGGAAAGTCAAATGACAGAACAAGGCAAAGGAAAATGTACTCATTGAAATGTCCCAGACTGGAGCCTCCTAGAGCTTTTTAAAGAGTTAAAATCAATATTTATACTTTTGATTAGAAGCTATAACTGGTAACAAGTAGCATAAGAATAAGGAGTATATCCCACCTCAATTTTGCTTGCACTCTGCTCAGTTGCCTGCTCCCCCTCTAGCCCACCCTTCACAAAAAATAGTTGGTGGAAAAGAACTCAGGTGAAGATGGGAGAGATCCACTGGGCCTTTTCTGTAGTGGGATGTCTTGCTCTGAACACCTTTTCCTGCCAGGAACTGTGGAGCTAGATTACAAATTCTGTAGAGAGAGAGACATTGACCAGCACTTCTCATAAGTATGGGACCTGACAAGCCACACTTACCAGCTTGGGCATATATGCAAATAATTTTTACGTTTATATTGATGATATAATCTATACAATCTGATTTCTGCCTCATTGGCTTTTGACTTACCTTCCTGGTTTCTTACTGACTCAGGGACCCTGAGAGCCATTTTGGGCAGAAATGCAAGATATTTATTTAATTTCTATACCACCCAATCAAAGTTCTTTGGACAGTTCACAAAGCATATATATGAATGTATGATATATTAAAATATTAATTCTTATTTGTTTGTTTATTTAAATATACCGTCCTTCATTAAGTCCCAAGAGGGTAATACAATACAATACAATACAATAAAATAAAACAAAACAAAACAAAACAAAACGGTTTTGGCCTGGTGCCGAAAATGAAAAAAGTGTCAGCACCAGGCACACTTCTCTGGAGAGCATGTTCCATAGCTGGGGCACAGAGAAGGCTCTTCTCCAGGTGGTCACTCTTCTGATCTCTTTCAAAGAGGGCTCCCAGAGAAAGACCTCTGACCCAGAACTTAGGGGGCAGACAGGTATGTATAGAAGGCGGCACTCCTTCAAATAATCAAATTCTTCCCTCATGAACTGAGAGAGAACTAAGCAAAATTGATATTGATGCTGGTCATATATTTTTAATTTCAAGTATAACTTCTTAAGCTACCAAAACTTTTCAATTTTTTAAAAGTACTTTCATTTTTTGTTTCTTCTTGATATGGCAGCCGTCAGTAAAAAAGGGTGTATTGCCAAAAATGCTGGAAGAAATTCTGACAACTAGAATAATGGTGAAGCAATCAATGAAAGCTTATAAGCACGACAAAGCTATCACTAGAATGCTTGATGCACGTCAGCTTGGCCTTAAGCTTATTTCAAATGTCACATACGGTTATACTTCTGCTAATTTTTCTGGAAGGATGCCATGTATAGAGGTGAGTGATAAAAATAAATAAGCTTTTTCAGAAAAAAAGAAACAGTGACCAGGTTTTGTGAATTTGTAACTAAGAGTATTGTAAAACAATAATATGTGTGCTGCATTGACAAAAAAATGTTGAGTAATTCAAGGCTGTAGTAAAGGATTGTTTTCAATGTCTTTATATCTACAGGTTGGTGATAGCATTGTACACAAAGCCAGAGAGACCTTGGAGCAAGCAATAAAACTTGTGAATGATACAAAAAAATGGGGCGCACGGGTTGTATATGGGGACACAGACAGGTAATCAAAACTATAATTTTGTTGGGAGACTTGTAAACCAGTAATATATAATTGGCTGTTTTTCCTTTTTAAATCGTCTGATTCATACGGGAACTTTGAATTGGTATGAGAATATTGCGCACAGGAAGGAGCCAGATCCCTTAACCATAAAGATGGAATGTTGAACCTCTTTTCACCAGAGGGTTAAATTCCTCTTTAGGAAAATGCGTTAAATAAATGATTCCCAATTTTCATGCTTTCATTTCAGCATGTTTGTACTACTGAAAGGGGCTACTAAGGAACAGTCTTTTAAGATTGGTCAAGAAATTGCTGAAGCTGTGACATCTACCAACCCTAAACCAGTAAAGCTGAAGTTTGAAAAGGTAAGTAAAAATCTGTATTTTTTAATTCAAATAATTGCACTAGTTAATTAATTCACATTCTATGAGAAATACAGTACTGTTGTATATTTTTCTTTACTATCTTAGCTCTTACTATTTCTTGGCTATAAGATTAGTAAGATACATTTTCAGAGAGAACAAGCATGGAATATACCTTTACACTGGAATATTAAAATTACTGAACAAAAGTGGAGAGATCTTTACACCATCTCAATATGCAGTGAGAAAAGGATTTTGGAATTTTTGTAGATCATTTGTTGAACTTGAGTCAACAGTGTGATGTGGCTACAAAAAAGCGAGTGTTATATTGTATTACATTAATAGAAGTATAGCTTTCAAATCACATGAGGTACTGGTTCCCATCTATTCAGTGCTTGTTAGGTCCCATCATGTGTGTTGTGACCATTTCTTGGAACCACACTTCAAGAAAGATGCAGACAAACTGGAAAAAGTTCAAAGGAGGGCAACAAACTGGAAACTGGAGCAGCAGTCTAGAAACAAAGCCCTATGGAAAAAAATGGGAAGAACTTGGTGTGTTTGGCCTGGAGAAGAGTGAGGAGATATATAACACTTTTCAAATACTTGAAAGGCTATTATTCAGAGGAGAGCCAGGATTTCTTCTCAATTATCCCAGAGTGCAGAACACAGAATAATGGGCTTAAGTTACAGGAAGCCAGATTTCAGATGGAGTTCAGGAAAAAGTCTCTGACTTTTAGAGCAGTACGGTAATGGAACTAATTATCTAGGGAGGTTCTGGGCTCTCCCCCATTAGAAGCATTAAAGAGGCAGTTGGACGGCCATCTGTCAATGATGCTTTAACTGGTTTCCTGCATTGAGCAGGTGGTTGGACCTGATGTCCTTATAGGCCCCTTCCAACTCTACTGTTCTGTGATTTTATGCATGTAGTATCTTGGCTTCAAAAATATAATGCATATTTGATAAGAGAAGGTAAAATAGTGCAATAAAGACCAACTTTCATTAATATGTCAGGCTTCGTCTATACAACACTGAGACCTATTTTAATTTGTAAACATATAATTAATTTATAACATTATTTGTAAAAATTGATAATACTATTTGAGTATAAGACTTGAGGGCCAGCAGCTGCTCCCAGTTACTTCAAGTGCTGTTTTCTACCTCTCTTTAACCTGGGTGTTGCTTTCTTCAGCAGTAGGACAACTGCTGTAATCTGAGCTGCTGGAGGAGGCTTTTGGGGTGGAGAGTCAAGAAACTTGCCAGCATGGACCTCTGCTAGGAGTGGCTTTAGTGCTAACCCTTGGAGCCAAAGTGGCTTCTGCTTGAAAAATTGTCAAGAACACTGTGATAGGCTCTATTTTAAACTTGCTATTCAAACTATGTATTAGTGGTCTTCAGTCTGTCCAGACCTGGGATTCACTATGTATCCCACTTCCAAGTTTCTAATATTTAAGCAAATAACTCACAGTATTTTAATATTATGACTCAGGGCAAGTACCATATTTTTCACTCTATAAGACGCGCCTGACCATAAGTCGCACCTAGTTCTTGGAGGAGGAAAACAAGAAAAAAATATTCTGAATCAGATGGTTTACTAAACTATTTAATAAACTATAACAGAATACAGTAATACCGTATTTCAACCTTGTAAAGTGAATAGCAGTCAGCAGTGGCATTAAGAACCATCATCACTGTCATTAACAAAAGAGAGACTTTAAAGTTTGAGTACTCTTCTAGTTTTCGTTGAACCCGTAGAACTCATCATCACTAGAATCAGAATTTATGAAGCTCTGTTGCTCACAATCACTGACATCACTTTCTTAGTCAGTAGTGGAATTATTGAAGGAATCCACAATCTACACCAGTTATACAAGAGCTGCTGCAGACAATTCAATAACAAATCTAAAAAAGCCAGTAATGTCCACGCTGCCCTACTAGTAAATAATAGAAAAAAACTTCTGACAAAAAATGAGATATTGTACAGTAAATCAAACACACAGCGGACTAAGTAGCCTTTGAAGAATAAACTTCATACACGAAAGTAATGCTGTTCAAATATCCACTGATCCTAAAAAAAAATGTGTCTGATCAACTAACAGATAACTGATCCATGGAAAGCTTCCTGATAATCACAGGCACATTCCCCATCACTTCCCCATGGACTTCATTAAAAGACAGGTTGCCATTTGAAAACACACACCGACTTGTGATTAACAGCTCTCACCTGCGCCAGAGGAGGGGGGCGGAGCAGGGCACACCGACCGTGTGCTGGCCAGGTGGTGCCACGTGGGGCCAGCAGCGTGCTGGTGGTGGTCTTCTAGGCAGTGCGGCAGCAGCGGCGGCAGGTCTTCCCAGGCGGTGGGGGTGAGCAGTTCCCAGGCAGTGGGGGTGAGCAGTCCGTCCCTCCATGTGGCTGGCGGGTTGAAGCCCGCGGCTCCTCCTCCGCACGCCTCCCCGAGTGGCACAGCTCTCACCTGCGCCAGGGGGGGCGGAGCAGGGTGCACTGAGCGCGTGCCAGCCAGGTGGTACGTGGTGTATGCGGGCCGGCAGCATCCCAGGCGTCGGGCACACACACATTCGCTCTATAAGACGCACAGACATTTCCCCTTACTTTTGAGGGGGAAAAAAGTGCGTCTTATAGAGCAAAAAATACGGTAAGCGTGTTTCACGGTGTAATATACTTATGTTGTCGTCTGTATACCACCATAAACATCTTGGCAGATGGAAGGGGATAAAATAAGTGTATTTAACCATTTCTCTTTCACTCCTTATGTATACCTCACAGCAGACAAGAGAAGAATCAATATTATTATTTCCACTTCAGAAATGGAAAATTGATGATGCTATCATGTCTTCACACTAAGCTGCAATTTGAACCGGTCCCTCTCTAATCAAAGTTTAGGTTTCCTGTCTCAGTGAATTACACTCTCTATCAAATTCAGAAAATTTCTTTCTGAAGGATAAATAATTTATGGATACTATTTGGATGTGTCCATTAGTAATATGACTAGGTCTGTTTATGATCTGTGTAGAAAAGGAAAATATTCTGCAATTTGTATTTCCTAATAATGGATTTTAACAGTTTTTTAAAAAAAATTTCAGGTCTATTTGCCATGCATTCTGCAGACCAAGAAGAGGTATGTTGGTTATATGTATGAAACACTTGACCAGAAGGACCCAGTATTTGATGCAAAAGGCATCGAAACTGTTAGAAGGGATTCTTGCCCTGCTGTTTCCAAGGTAAATGGTCACAGAAATTTTACTCTGTGTGTGTTTTTAAATCATTATTGTTTGAATACAGTGCCATTTACAAACTAATAGAAAAGCCCCATGAAAGTTGAAGAACACTGAACAAGATTAAAAGTGCTATCAGTATTTCAGTTAACTTTACCCTCTTTTGAACAGTTTTGAGCAAGAAGCAATACTTGAATATATGTTTTTCTTTTCAGATACTTGAGCGTTCTATCAAGTTACTGTTTGAAACACGTGATATAAGTCATATCAAACAGTATGTGCAAAATCAATGCATGAAGTTATTAGAAGGTAAGGCCAGCATGCAAGACTTTATCTTTGCAAAGGAGTATAGAGGAAGTTCTGCCTACAAACCCGGATCCTGTGTACCAGCTCTAGAAATCACAAGGTAATAAGGACATAGAATGCAATATTTTATTTGACATTATATTACTCTTGTTATGTGAGTTCAAGCCCGTTACAGAAGTTCACTCCTTCAAGAATGTGAAATGTGTCATTTTTACTATTGGTCAGTAATTAAATCCATTCACAACCTCTTCTATATCCTTCTCCTATAGCAAAAAGTTTGGAATTGCCAACAACTGAGGGTCAAAAGATACACAAACCAACATACTTGCAGAAGTACTCATTGTCTTTGACTCCTCCACATTTTGGTGTGTTACAACCTGGCACTGAAATGGACTTAATTGGCATTGCTGCCTCTTGATGTGCACAAGATACTCAACACCATAACTCACCAAAATGGGGAAAAGTTGGTGGGGGGGGGGTAGCTTACATATTTCTCCTTCTCCTGCTCACAATCTTATCAACAAGAACCCTGTGAGGGAGTTCGGGCTGAAAGCTTGTGACTGGCCCAAAGTCACCCAGTTGGCTCTATGGCTAATCCCAGTCCTGTGTTCTTAACCACTACACCACATGGCTTTTAGAACCAATCAAAAGTTCAAAGCTGTGGGTGGGTAATGTTAAATAAACCAGGGTTCTTATCTCTACTATCAGGAAGTTGTGTAGAGAAAAGTCACCCCTGAAGCAAAGAAAGTACTGGAAGTTTGGGAATATGGCTTTATTCTTTTATTTTTTATTTATTTTTAAATACAGTTACAAAAACATACAATAAAAAGAAACAACACAAGGTGTGCATGCACGCGTGTGCTCACACATGAGAGAGCGACAGAGCTAAAAAAACCATGCCTTCATGGATTTATTCTGACAAGGCATGTGAGAATGTTTCTGTAGAGAAAGAGTTGCTGGATATTGTGTGATGACAAATGCTGTTCTTAAAGTAGTGCATTATTATCTTTGAAGGAAAACCTACCTAGCTGAACTGAAATGAGACACACAAAACTGTATAACATTATGCACTGATATAGTGAAGAATGTTGTGATAAGAAACCTCTATAAACAATTAGCTTTTTTGATTCAAGGGCTGTTCATAAGCAGTCAACAACTCAGAAAATGACACAGAGTGTTAGCTTACACGAGATTAAAAACTCACACACACCATAGCAACAAGAGTAGTTGTGTGTCTGAAGCTGAAGACTAGGAATCTGAACTGGTAGTATTTTAGTCTGAGAGTGATTGGCCCAAGGTTTGCCCAATAAAAGAAATGGCTCAGTGGGAATTTTAACCTAGCTGTGGCCTGTTCAAATCGCAATATTCAAATAACTGTTCTAGACTGGCTCTCTGAGTACAAAAACATTCATAGGTACCAGCCCTAAGGTTATAACCTCCCTTTCTGGAATGATTCAAAGCATAAAGCTTTTTTTGTGAAAAGTGATGGGGAAAATTCAACATTTTCTCAGATTTTGCTATGGATATATCAGATGTCTTCATTTTTTTCCTTTCCGTGTGTTTAATATACTGCTGCTAGGACTGATGGAAAGATTGAAGAAATAGAAGGGCTGTTAATGGTAGACAGAAGAAATTGCAAGTTTGTCAGCTTTTGAGTGCTTTACACTTTCAGTTAACTTTTTCATATGCAAAAATGTACTTTGAAATGGATTTTATTTCTCCACATAGGAGGATGCTTGCATATGACCGGCGGTCTGAGCCTCGAGTTGGTGAAAGAGTACCCTATGTCATTGTGTGTGGCATGCCAGGATTACCTCTCATACAGTTGGTTAGGCGGCCCATTGAGGTTCTACAGGATCCCAGTCTGCGGCTGAATGCCACTTACTACATCACCAAGCAAATTCTTCCGCCACTGGCCAGAATCCTATCACTTATTGGTATAGATGTCTTCAGTTGGTACCATGAATTACCAAGGGTAAGTGAAATAGTAAATCAAGTATTGAAACTATTGCCATAAACAGGAGGATATGAAGAGCATACTTAGATGAGCAGAGAACTGCCTCACCAGATGTTGCATTATTTTTGTGGAATAGATGCCCACCTGTATTGACAGCATTTACTACACATGCTTTTCCCTCTTCCAGCCACCAATGCAATAGCATTTAGAGCTTCAGACTTGTAAAAGCTGGGTGGACCAGCTAAGCTAGAACTACAGGCACATTAACATTCTTGGCCTTTCTGGACATCTGCAAATGTCATGGCATTGTGCTGTTCTTTTACCTGTTCAGATAGATTATATAGCTACTGAATATTGTGTCCACTTCTGTAGGGTTGAGACTGGCAGTCAGTATAGTGGAGCAGTCTACTGCTCTTACCTGGCTAGAGAGGAAAGGGTAGTGCTGCCTTCATTTCTTTCTGATGCAAACACCTTGTGTAATCGGGCTTGTTGCAGAGCTCTCAGAAATAGTTGCACTTGTTGAGCCTTGGCAAGTCATGTACCCCAAAACGTATCACCACATTGAGTAGAAGTAACATTTATCTATTTTGTTACTTACATGGGAAAAAGATAACTGTTGCTCCATGTATCCTACCACATTTTTCCTCTTTAGATCCAAAAAGCTACCACCACAGCACATGTTGAACAAGAAAGCCGAAAAGGGACAATTTCCCAGTATTTCACCACTCTGCATTGCCCTGTATGTGATGATTTGACTCAGCATGGGATCTGCAATAAATGTAGAAGTCAACCACAGCATGTAGTAGTGATTCTTAATCAAGAAATTCGAGAGCTGGAGCGTAAACATGAACACCTGGTCAAGGTAAGGGGAAAATCAGTAAGTTGAATAATCTCTTTAGTTGGACATAATATAGAAAACAATCTGGGAAGAGGACATCTAAAATTTTTAAAAAGACTTCAGTATCTTTTCAGATTTAAGTTTTTAAAAATGTAGGAACTTTTAAAGAATGTTATTAATTACATAAAAATAAGCCACATTCACTTACAAACAAAATTTATTTATTCAAGCCTTTTTAAAATAACAAAGGAAATTCCAAAAATGAACTGTTCCATATGCTAATTATTCAAATCAGATATTACATTATGTTAAATTATCCAGTACCTTATGAGAGAATATACCCACTGTTTTGTATAAAAACATTTCATATTTGGGCTTCTGTCCAATCTGTACAAATTTTACTAATTTGGCTAAATATCAGTTCCTTAAGCAATCAAATGAATTTTATTCAAGGGGTAAGAAAAGGGACTGGGAAAAATCTGATGACAGATTGTGCATTTGGAAACAAAAGGCAAAACCATTTGTTTATCTTAGCATTGTTTGCCTTTGGTATTGAGGCAAACTGAGAAATTGGAAATATGTGTTTTTCACTCTGTACATATTCCTTTAGAAGTTCCTGTGTGTGTGACAGTGTATATTATGCCCAAATGTTTAGAGCTAAAGTTTTGTCAAGACTGCTGTGTACTAATATATTTTTTCCAGTAAAATGTATTCTGTCCTAATCCACTGTATGCTCTTCTAGATATGCAAGAATTGTACAGGTTGCTTAGATCGACAGATACCATGTGTTTCATTGAACTGTCCAGTACTTTTCAAGCTCTCCAGAGTGAGCAGAGAATTATCCAAGGCACCGTATCTTCGTCAACTACTTGATCAGTTTTAGATTGCCTATATCCAAGATTCCAGGTGCTATTTTTTCAGTGTTTACCACTGTAAAACTATCATGCATGGTCCTTCAATTTCATCTTGTTTGGGATTTTCATTTACTGTTGACTTATTCTGAAAAATAATGAATGTTTGTCCGAAGTAAACTAAAATGCATTTGTTAATCTGTTAATAGCTCCCTTTTTAAACTGTCAATTTTCTTCATTCTTCTGCCTTTTTAACATACTGTTTTTTAATGCAGATGTTGAAATAGCTGTGTGTTAACATCTTGTAAATTCATTTCAGAAGTTTATTTCCCACTGGACTTCTAAAGAAGTACTGAAAACATATGGGAAAAATGCCATTGTGTGTGATTGAACTGTCAGTGTCAGGATATGTTACATCATCTACTTTATAATTTTGATTGCAGAATATTTTGTAAATAAACTTTTTTACTTTTCAAACAACTGAGTAAAATAACGTGCAATGAATTTTATACAAACAATTTTAAAGTTGGTTGAGGTATTTCCTCTTCAGTTTTGCTTGATTCCAAGTAGATTTGTTGTTTTGACCAGACTGTGCAAACAGTAGTATGTGTAGCATTTTGAAACATTTTCTAAAAATCACTGTTTTGCTTTAGCTATTAATTGGGGCATTGTGAGGAACTGTGCAAAGACATTTTTGTTACAAAACTGTGGGACTGTTGCAATACTTTAAATAAGAAATTTTATTCCATTTTGCTTTTGTATAGACATTTCTATTGCTTCTAAATATGCTTAATATTTCATTATGTATTGTACAGTTAAAATTTATTTGCCATCATCTTGAGAAAATGTGTATTTAGAATATTTGTATAACTGTATAAAATGAAAAGGAACTATGTGGTCACAGTGCATTGTTTTTTTAAATTGGAAACCATGTTTTAAAAATTAATGGAAACCATAGTAAAACTGAATAAAATCAAATAAATGTATGTGCATTTTTAAACTTCACAGTAGTCAATCAAATATTGGTTTTTAATAATAGTGTGTCAACTGATTTGACTCAAAACCATTTTCAGTTACTAGTGATTGCTGTGTGTACCATTCCTAGATGTTTCAAGAAAGTGATAATGAAGATATACAGTCCAAGAAATGAGAATATTCTACCTTCTTTTTTTACTTTGTTTACACCAGACATTAGTGGAAGTTTGCAGCCTTTGAATATGCCTGCTTGCCAAGGATCAACTGTATTCTACTGCACTTGTCGCAGTAAGAAGTAGTGTTCTAGTCATGTGGGTCACTAGTTGCAATGGGCTGATGTGTCCAAACCCAGACCACTTCCTGTTAGATGAGATATTCTTCAAAAGCAAGCCTGTGGCCTACTCTGGGGTTTGTTTGTAACATGATTGCTTATTGTGTCATGTAGACACAGGAAGGCAATTTGAACATCAGTTATGGGGACTGATTTATACGGAACTTGCCAAAGAGTGGCGAAAATCCTGTTCCTCTTGCAAACTCACCTCTGTCACTGTGAGTGACTTGCCCCTCCATCAGTGGGACTTTTTGAGCATTCGTCACTGATTCAATACCACCTTTAAAGTTCCTTCGGTCTCAGAAAATTACACAGTTGTTCATAATTTAATTACTTTTACCTCTTTTGCAAGTGTACTCTTATGTGTATGAGTAGGCTTATCTAATCAAGCTGTGAAAAATCACTGGTAAAGGGCTAAAGTTACTCCAAAAAGTGGGGGGAGGAACAGTATCTCCCCTTGAGCAGTGTAACTCTTAAATATTGAACTGACATTTTTCAGTGAACTCCACCTTTCCAGTGGTTCTCAAAGTTTACTACACCTCTTAGAAAGGGAGATACTATTTCCCTCTCCTCACCATTTCTATGGCTCCTTTTTGGAGCAGTTACTCCAGATGTGCAAATTCCAACCGCCTCCCAGCCCATTTATTTTCCAGACATTAAATTTACATTTTTTACTTTAGAACCTCAATAGTAACTGTTCTGAAAAGGAGTCGCAAAAAAGGGACATGGAATTAATGCCTCCCCTTTCCAGAGTAGCTAGAGAAAGGGCTAAACCAAAAGTACCGCTATTAAATTACACACCCTTATTTACTAATTTATCAGTTTTGTTTCCAGTTTTTCCACAATGGTCAAAAGAAGACATTTTACAAGAGAACCAATAACCAATTTTTTTTAGCTTTGATTGCACACATTCTACTAAGAAATGATGGTCAAGACTATGGTACAGAAATATTTTATTCAAGAAAATATCAGCCTTCCCAATTCGCTGTAAACACAAGCAATAAAACTACCTGCATTTTCATTTCAAAATCAACTCACCAATGGGAGCACTTAAGAAAAAACTAATTAATCATACCAAATAAAATCTGTAACATTTAAGGCAAATAACAAAGTTGTAAAAAGTTGCAGTTCAAAGTGCATGGCTCATCTAATTCATAATGCAATTTTATACTGTTGATTACATAAACACAGATATGAGGTACCTACACATTATCAGAAGGACATGATTCCTCAAGTAAAGACTGAATTTGTCATTGTGTTTATATTTACCAAGCAGGGGTAAAAATTCTTAAAATAACATATCCAACTCCACAACTCCATTTAAAAAAACCATAGTTCATCTTATTGCTTACTTGGCAACAACATGTTTTACCACTGATTTGGTTGACTTGATTTTTAATCCTGACACTTGATCTTGTCAAAATGCTATCAAACAGGATACATTCGTCCAGATCTCAAAGAACAGAAGCTGTTTTTGCATGTGTAAAGAAACTTTGGCTTTGTGGGTCAGCAACATATAAGTGAACCTCTTTTAAAACAAAGGGGTTGCATCATAGAATTGGGAGCTGTCAGTCAGAGGATATAAACCTTTTATAGGACTTATCTAACTGCATGTCTAAACTTTTTTCATTCTTGTATGCACCCAAAATTGGATATACCCCTGCACTTTTAAAATTAAAAATATTCACACTTTAGATGAACTACTGTTCTGTTCATGTAGATCCTTCTACATGTTTCAGCTGCATAATATTGAATTACAGTAGTATACAAATGTGGTCTAATGACTTGCTTCAATTTAATGCAGCATTTTTTAAAAAGCTAGGAATTCTTGTTTCACTGACTTTTAATATGAAAAGACTAGTATAGAATATTCATATGAGGTAGCTTCTTAAAACTTTTTTTAAACACTGGTTCACTCCCAGATGCATTTAATGCTAGTGTTCCAGTTCAAAATCCAGTGTACAGTTCCTATGATATTTCACAATTAACCACAGTATCTTTCCATTTAAATACTGGGATTGTGCTGTTGTGATAGCAACAGAACATAGCAGTGTAGACTGTCCATACGTTCCTGTGCAATCCCATCCCTGGGTAGGTTTAAAAGGATGGAAGAAAAAAAATGCAGTTTGTTTGATGACCTGACCAACAAACTTGTGAGACGTGTGTTCATTTTTTCATACTTATTACAGCCTGTACAGTCTGTACAGGTTATGGGATCATACACACCTTCCCATGCCCTTACCCACCCCATAATTTGGCATTGCAACTTATTTTTGTCAGCCCTGGTGAAAGACACCCCTGCGCTCCAACATACCTAACTGAACAACAAGACATTACATCAATCAAATCTCTGCTTGGCGAGGGCTTCCATTACACAAAGTGCTCCCAAACATAATTTTAATCCGCATATTAATATAGTGTTCCCTCTATGAATCTACAGAGATAGATATAAACTGTTCATCTGGAAAACCATCCATTGTCCAAAACACGAGAATAAAATTTGTATTACGTGTTCCTTAAGTTTTAATGTTTGCTATTAAGTAGTAGACTACTATGATAATGTTCATTGCACTTGTGTCATTATGTAGCATGCTTGTTCCTCTCCTAGTCCATGCTTGCAAACAAACATAATCACATTCAACACACTCTAGCAAAAGCACCTCTTCCTTACGCCATTACTGATGCTAACAAGTTTATAACAAGAATGCTATTACAATTTTTTAACACAGGCATACAATTGTCTCACACACATTTAATTAACAGGATCTCCATCCAAATTCACAATTTTTAATACAATTACATGAGCTTAAATTAGTAGGAACAAGCTATTCCATACTGATATATCTGCATTTATCTTGTTTTCAAAAAACATACCAGTGAAATAAGCATGAATGAATACCTTGATTATGAAAGTAATCATTGAAGACAGACCTGAAGCAGAACAGTAACAACATAGATTGTAAGCAACTTCCTTTATGCAAATAACATTATGAAAATTAGCAATTTCATAGATGATGCTGATTCTTTTTCATGGACAATACAGTTGCTGTTTTGAAAAGCTACAATAGAGCATGTTTGAAGTGTGTATATAAACCTAGAAAGCTATATTAAAGATATGTTGGCACTCAAGGTCTTAGGAACATAGGAAAAAAATTAAGAAAGCTGAGTACCACTCATGCTGTTCTCTTAACTTGCTGCAGTCCTCAACCCACAGGATGTGTACTAAGCATTACATCATGATTTAAATCAAATCAAGAGCCAGCATGGCATAGTGGTTCAAGTGCTGAGCTTGGGATCTGGAAGCTCCAAGTGCCAGGCCCACTTTGCCATGGAGTTAACTGGATGACTTTGGCCCATCACAGGCTCTCAGCCTAACTAACCTCACAGGGTGGTTGTTGTGAGGATAAAATTGAGAAGAGGGAGATTATGTAAGCTGCCTTGAGTTTCTTGGAAGGAAAAAAGGTGCAATATTAATACTTTAAATAAAATAAATAAATATCTCCCTTGGCCAAGGATGAAGAAGTCAACAATAATTTTAGCATACAAATCCCTTCTACAAGTTTTATTTATTAGAAAAAGATAATCTTTTAATCTATTCAGAGTTAAATGTCCCACCACTCTGAAGAATCTTTACAATACAAAGTTTAAGAAACATTCTTCTTGTCTTGTTTTTACCATCATGCTCATTAAAATGAGCTCTACTACATTATTTTTCTCACACACTTTTCTGTAAAACAGCTTAATTGGACTTCAGCAAGCTTCCCATCATCCTTTCTTTACAGTAGGAGTCCCTACGAAACCTCTTTTCTAAATAAGAGGACCTTAGTCGTTTTTACTTGAATTCTTTCGTCTTGGGGATCTGATAGCAAGCATAGGAGAAGTATTAAATGGTAAACTTCCTGAAGGAGGATGGCTGGAGGTGGCACCTGTAGATTCCCCTTGGATCATCTTAGAAGTTTCTATGACAGAGTTGTGCAGAGTGTCATTCATCTCAATTACTTCAAAGTCTACTTCATTCCATTCCCTACCATCCTCCTCATCTTCAAGATGAGAGCTGGACAATAAGGCTTCCTGGAGTTCACTATCTCCAACATGTTTCAGCTTAGCATCACAGGGCAATGTAGCTAATTTATACATCACTGGGAACAGGACTGCTGTCATGACTGCCGCTCCCAAGGCAGCATACAGGAGTACCGGATGTGTGGGAAAGTATCCTTGAAGGAGGCCAACCACTGCAGGAATACACATTTCCCCTAGAGCTGCACCCATTACAAATAAAGCTGCAGATTTTCCTTGGATGGTGATATATTGTTCGACCCAGGAAATGCCACTGGGGAAGATAGTAGCCATTGATGCGCCATACACTGCAGAGCCAAGCCACAGAGAGACTGCATGTGTATTGAAGAGTGCCAGGAACAATGATGAGACGGTAGAACCTATGATACTCAGCAAGATCATAGATCCAGGGTAAGAACAAGCAGCAAAACAAATTGCCAGTCCCCTGCAAGCTGCAAATGTTCCCCAAAAGAGAGAATTCAAGCCTGCTGCTTCATTTTCCTTCATACCAACATAAGTTTTTGCGTAAGTAAAAATGTAAGAACCATAGGTTACCTCTGCTCCCACATACCAGAAAAAAAACACTGCCAGAAGAATTATGACAGCATGGTGGTATTTGACCACCTGGTATTTCTGCACTGAAAGCTTGGATCTGTCTCGAACAGGAGTACTCCTCAAATATAACAGAAAGAAAAGTAATGCCACAAGCAAAAGGTAGGTGCCTATCATAACGTAAGACCACATAAAATTCAAGTTTAGATGCAGCTTCAGCAATGATGTAACAGCTGGTAGAGAATTCACAGAAGTCTCATTTTTATCACTGCCACCTGGATGGGCCTGAGGATCAATAAAAGAGCCACCCAGTGCCATCTTGGCCAGAATAGGTGCCACAAAAGCACCAAGGGCAAAACTGAAATGTAAGGCCTGCATATGTGGACCAGCTTCTGTTCCCCATGTGTCCAAAGCAAGAACGTTGCCACCTGTGAAGAAAATACTGTGTGTCATACTTTCATATTTTGGCTGCTGAAAATTCTGAAGACACTGTTAAGTAAAAAAAAAAACTGATGGAAATAGCACAAAGGGAAAGTGCTCCTCGCTGGTTTATTTTGTATTTCCACTTAAACTTCTCCTTTGTTAATAGAGTGTCCTTTATACTTGACATGTGTAAAAAGACATCTTGGCCCAACAATTGAAGTGCACCATAGGGTGCTTATATGCTAAAGTTACACTTGGGATATTAGCAATTAAAGACCAGGGCTTGATCCAAGATATATAGGATATACAAGACCACTATATATACGGCTTTAATTCAGAATGGGGAAGTGGGTGAGAGTTCTCACTTCAGCTTGGACTAGCAACTATTAAAGAACTAGGAAGCAGAGAAGAGAGTGGACCAGGTGATTGAGTTACAGCTATCAAATACAGGGCAGGCTGCATGGTAAGGACATGGCAGGTAGTGTGGGTCCTAGACTAAGTATTCAGGATGTAGCCAGCACAGGGTTGGGGCAGTGTGAGAGTTGACAGAATGTGGCCAGAAAATAGGAGGAGGAAGAAGATATTTTACCTATTTCAAAGGAAAATGATCTAAGAAGGAGAGTTGCAATGTTTAAGCTCTCAGTTCCAGTTTCAGAAGCTGATTTTATGTGATCCTGCAGTGAGGATCAGGAGGCTAGCAAGGCCTTTGCAGTTTCCTTCACTTATATTCTAAAACATTTTCTCGAAATGCTCAGTGATTGAACATGAGGCTGTGCTTTCCACAGGAGTTCTGTCCAACCTAATATATATATACATATAAGATGCACAGATGCTGGAAAACTGGGGTACTATGAAGGAGGCTTAGAAAAGACTAACTAGAATTCAAGGTTCTTCCTTCTAAAATCATGGAGTTGAGACAGGTTTGCAACCAAAAAGAACAATACAGATCAAGGAAATGATCATTCCCACTAGTGTCAGTTGTGGTGTGCAAGACTAAATAGGACAGCCTTCTCCAAGGTGATGTCCTCCAGTTGTTTTGGATTATAACTCCCAGTATTCCTGACCATTTGTCATGCTGGCTAGGGCTGATGGAAGTTGAAGTTCAAGAATATATGGAGAGCACTAAGTCTAGAAATGTCTGGAAGTTACACTGAATTGGCAACCACTAAGTGCACCTGGAGTTCAATGTGGAAAACAGTATTAGGTCCTAGAATTAGAAAACAGTATTAAGAGCTGTACAGAAATATTGGAAGTTACTATCCTTAACAACTCTTATTTTGCTTATCAGTAGGAGTGGTATTTCATGGATGCAATTTATTCCTGCCAGAGCCCTGGATGGGACAATTAATAATTCACATTGGGAAGTCTGGCCACAGTTGTGACTGTTTGTTCCTAGCAATTTAAATAAGCCAAAAAGCCAGCAACGTAATCAACAATGCCCTTCCCCTCAATGAACTTGCCCTGATTCATCCCTTGCTCCTTGCTTAATCAGCCACCCATAAGAAGAACAATACAGCTTCTAGGTCAGTGGCTGATTTTCCCAAGGAGTTGGGAAGTGCAGCTGCAGAGAACATTAACCACTAAGCACAGGAGGTTAGTTCTTCTTTCACTGCAACTTTTGTTGCAATCCCTCTCAAAATGAAGCGCTCTTTTCACATTCACCCTCATACACATTCCATTAGTGTACAAAGGACAAGAGCCCACCTCCCAACTGTGTATCATTAAATACAAGAGCAAGCTGATGAACACACAATTGTATAAATGCATGGTCTGCACGTGCTATCAGGGACGATGGCACAACCATGGCAGCCAATCTTGCATACAGGCCCCATGCTACACAAGTGCTTACACGCAAATGGCCTCCCCTTTCCTCACAGGTCAAGGCTCCATCTCATGAGTAGAGGCCATTTCTAGTATGCTTTTGGTGCCGCCTCTTCCAAAGCTGCTGCTGCACTTTCCACAAGATGCTCTGGGGTGGCCAGCAGCTAGGTACAGGCTGCTTTGCAAAGCTGAGGGAGGGGCATAGGGGGTGGGCGCTGGACCACTGAGCCCAATGAAGGAAAGAAGTTGCACCTAGGGATGCTGGGTGAGCTTTCTTATAATTCAGTAAGGATTGCCAAATTGCTGGGTTGTATCCTTTTCCCAGTTACATGGTGCTGGTTTGCTTGTCCTTTGAAAACAAACAGATACTTTCTGAATGTCTTTTCTTGTTAAAGTGAGTACATTAAAATTGTGGGGTCTAATATACCCCAGTAGTTTTTGTATTGCTCCATATCTTTGAAATGTGACACTAGAAACATGTGGAGTTTAAATTGGAGTTATAAAAAGATATTTATTCATAACTAGGACTTTAAAGGGTACACTGGATTCCAATAGCAGATTAATGGTGGGGGAGGCATAAATTCATCAATAGTCCTACAGCATCCTAATCCACACTAGCGTGAGGAATCCTCAACGCTTCTTTATTACTTCTAATACACTAGTAAGCTCTGGCCTGCTACTTTTACTTCTCACTCTCTACCCAGCTCCTTGCCTTCATCTTCAACAATATCAAAACTAAAACTAAGATGTCTTCACCTACTTTATATCTGCCCTTTCCCTCCTCTTCAAGCCACAGCAAGCCCTCTCCTCCTTCTCCCCTGTTAACTACCTACTCTGCCCTGTTATCTACCTGCTCTGCATACCTTCACGATCTCCTTTTTAACATATCAATCTAAGTCTCTCATCTGGCTCCTTCCTCAACATTTTCAAATATGCTACCATTTCCTCCTTTCTCAGGCCATCCTTATGATCTTCCTACTACTAACTGCTTCCTGCCAGATGCCACCTTCCTTTTGCTGGGGTGCAGCAAGTCTGGATGTCTGTTCGTTCAAACACAGAAATCAGCAGCCTCTGAGCCAAACTACTTAAAATGATCAGTCATATAATTCCACTCCACACACCTGCTGCCCCACAAAAAAAAACAAATATTTATTTATTTATTTATTTATTTTAGGGTAAGCTACAGATCATGAGTAGCCTGGCCGTCACCTGAAACAAGTGGAAGCATGTGCAGGTTCAAAAGCTTCATGCACATTAATTTATACTTAAGAGATGCAACACACTCCTCATTTAATCATACCTGACATGATGGACATGCTGAAGCAAGGAGACAGTTGGGGGTTGTTGTGGGGTTGTGTGTTGTGGGGGTGGTGTTTTTACCTGTATCCAGGACTCCCATTGCAAAACCAATGACAGACATCATTGCTGTTAACAAGAGCACTTGCCTACACCATGGAATGGCATACAGACCTAGAGCTGTACCCAGCATTGATAATCCTAAAGGACAGAAACAATTAAAAACATGTTTCAGATGGTACATTTATAGTAAATAGCCACAATTTCTCATACTTCATTTTAATTCCAAGTTTTATATTGGACTTTTTGGAATTCCAAGGAAATTTAAAGTTAGATTTGCATTTGTACTGAGACATTAAAAGTCTAGGTTGTTACTATTGTTGTTAATATCACATTCTGATATCAGAAGCATGCATGTTTGAGACTACTAAGCTGGGAGTAAGCAATTGCACTCTACTTTCTTTGAACTGATATGCACAGGATTGTGCCAGAAATTTCAATTTTTCAAAAAATGTTTTCTTCAACAGTTTGGAATTCCCAATGGCATGGAAAGCAGAAAACGTATTCAAAATTAAAAAGTTTATAGAGTTTAACAGGATTATAGAGTTTAACAGGATAAAAGTATTTCCATTCAAGTTGGGAGAGGAAGGTCACTTCTGTGGCTTTCTGGAGGGGTTTCTAAGGGTTTTGAATAGGGAAGCTGTAAATCTTGAGTGCACTAACAGAAAAGCACACACGGAACTTTAGATGCTGTCCAGTGTATATTTGTGAACAAAGCTGATTTAAAATACTAAATTAATATAACAGATAGGGCAGGTGATTAGCTCGGGGGCACTCCTTTATCCTTCTTGATGCTCTGGTGGCTTCAGTAACCCTATGTGGACACTATCAAGACACAAACACCCCTATCTGGACAGGGATAGCTTGGTTTCAGTAATCTGGGCTCTGGTAATCTCTGTAATACTGAATGCGTAAGACCAGCTCTGGCCTTGCTTGCACTGGCTGCCTGTATATTTCCAGGAGTAAGTCAAGGTGCTGGTTTTAACCTATAAAGCCTTACATGGCTTGAGATATAACATAATACCTGCTGGAGAACCTCTCCCAGCCACGATCAACTTGGACATTATGCCCAGCCTCTGGAGCCTTCCTCCAAGTGCCACCTCCAAGAAAGGCTAGCAGAGTGGCAACAAAAACAGCCTTTTCTGTGGTGGCCCCCATCTATGGAACAACTTCCACACTGTGGCCCACCTGGCACCAACTTTGCTATCTTTTAGTACTAGATTAAGAAAGTCCTGTAAGCCAAGGCTCTAAAAAATTTACTTGGTTATCCAGGGACCTGAGGTAATGACCCATCCCAGAAGTTTTTCTATTTACAGAGCCATTTTTTTTACTCAATGTTTTTAATTTTAATACTGCTTTTAAAATGGCATTTCTATTGTGTTTTGTTGTTTTGTTTTATAGATAGTTGTAAACTGCTCAAAGAGCTTTGGTTATAGGGTGATAGATAATAACAGTAACAACAACACTAATAATAATACAAAAATGGAAGATCAGGACAATGATGCACAACAAATGAATGTTCGCTTCTGTGTACTTACCCAAAAGAAGCTGGGCATTCATGCAGTCAAAAAGTATTCCACCAATCAGAGAACCACCAAAGTACCCCATTGAACGGCCCACAAAGATGTAAGAGATTTGACTAACATTTTTGTTCACATTTGTAGCCAGGTCTTGAAATGTGGGCCCTAGGACAGCAATGGCCATACCCTGGAAAGCAAAACATAATGGTAACTCAGCCATACCTGCCACTCTTGATAACACTTTGTAGAAGGAAATTACAAACTGCTCAGCTGTTTAATCACTCTGAATTGAACTGCTCAGCTGTTTAATCACTGGGGGTGCAGAATCTCAGATGCCAGGCCCAAATCTAGCTCATATAGGTTGCCAATATGGCGCCACCCCATTTCTCCTGACCAGTGACTGCTGGTTTTCTCACTTTTGTGCAGTCTTTCCCCATTCTAAAATGTTGTAATTCCTCTCATAAGTCTTAGTAGAAGTAAAAACTTTAAGGTACAATATGCTGGTTTGGCCTCACCCACCAGTAGACCGCATTCTCCAGTCTTAAACTAAGTACCCCTGTTCTATACTATCCTACACATCAGTATATTGAAGTATTTTAGGTCTCTCTAAAATTAATGGGACAGTATAAGATTAGATACAACAAAGTTCATTAGAAAAATGAGAATTCATGTTACACTACAAAGTAGCTGCTTTTTTTACCAAAATAAATAAATCCGGCTATTCAGTTAGTATGTTAAAAGTCTGAATTGATGCCAACTGGAGACACTGTATGTCAGAGCATGTTAGTTAAATTGCTATTTCAATGGTGTCCAAATGATTAAGCTAAACTTGAAAAGCTGACTGAACTCACCCGGGATAAATATAGACAAGTTTCTTTAAAGCTGGGTTTGTGTGATAAAGTTAAAACACAAGATACTATACCTAAGATCATATTTGTTACATGCAGCATTCCTCTATTTATACCCAACTAATATTTTTAAAGAACTTGATGTTATATTTTGTCAGTTGGGGAAGGTTGCTCCCTGACACAGATATCCTTGCAAAAGATTCAACCTTCCACTAAAAAAGATGGGCTTTAAGTCCTTGACTTAAATCATCAGGTCTATTTATTGAGATAATATTGAGATCAGAATATTATTCTGGTATTTCTCACTTAGATTTTATTTTCCATATTGGCCAGTTCTAGAATTTTCTTTCTCCAAATTGATGGTATTAGGCTCTCAACTTATTAGAATGGATAGGATAGAACACGTGGTGGATATGACAGAAAATCAATCCATTTTCCCCATGCTAAATTGACCTGATGACGAAATCCAAACTTTAAAAATGGTTTTTAAAAGTCTTTGTGACATACTTGTACATCTTAGTTGGTATTTATTCTTGGTATTTATTCTTGATGAATAAATAGAAGTTGATTACAAGTTTTTGCCATTTTCAGCTTTGTGTGCCAGGAATTCACTCCCCAAAGAGGTCCGCCTGGCACCGTCGTTACTGGTTTTTCGGCGCCAGGTAAAGACCTTTTTATTTAAACATCATCTGAATTGTTAAAACATATGATCTGGCCAGGGCAACTTCTTCTTCCTTCTCTTTCTCCTCCTATATTTTTATTTACTTAAGTTATACTGATAATTTTAATCTTATATTTGTAAACCAATGTATTTTTTGTATTTTGTATTTAATGGTAATTTATTATGTGCTATTGTATTTCATTGTATTTTATCGTGTTGTAAGCCGCCCCGAGGTTTCGGCAAGGGGCGGCATAGAAATGTTAATAATAATAATAATAATAATATGATTTGCTGGCTAAGCCTGAGTGACAATACTTGCAATTGCAACATGTCAGAATCCATGTTTGGTCCTGCTGTTTTTGCAGCTTCAGTCTGCTCCAGTACTGGAAGTACTTATTGAGACTGTCCCACGATCCATGTTTACAAACACTTACTATAAGTGAATAAATATGATAAACATAGCTTTAAGCAGGAATAGAACAGAATGCTCTAAAGGTTGCTTATTCACGTTATTCAGCAAAAGCTCTTCTTTCATATTTGCTGAATGCTATGACATCTCTTTACTAAGGGTTTGACTAAGTCAGCTAACTGCTGGAGGCATAATACTGCTAATGCTTCTTTTAATCATTTATTCTGGCAATGTTCAGTGGCTGATGCTTTTTGGGAGAAGATTGCATTATCAATAAACTTTGACCTGGAACACTCTTTAATATTTACTGATGCAATATTCTTTAACTTACCCACCTACTTGCTGGAAGTGAATGCAAGGTCAAGATAAATTGATTCTCCACACTCTTTTTACAGCTAAATGACTGGTACTGTAACACTGCAGGATAAACACTCTCCTCTTATAACACAATGGCTTGAGGACCAAGCAATGCTTTCAAAGTTTGAATGGGTGGTATATAGACAAAACTCACAAATGGACATATATATGCATATTTGATCTTTGTCCAAGCTTGTGTGTGTGTGTGTGTCTTTTAGAAAGTTATACTTCACACACACACATTCATATTTATTTAATGTTTATTCACTGAATTTGATAAATTCAAATCTATGTAGCTTTATTTTTATGGTTTTGCTTTGTTTAGTTTTGTTGAAATTTATTAATAAAAATAAATTTGAAAAGGAAAGAAATCAGCCAATAGTTTTCACTGGTACAGAATTATTTCAGAATCTGGAGTTCCTTATTTAACTTAATAAAACAGCAAGATATAAATCTAATAAATAAATATTAGCTCTTGTAGGACTTTCCTTACATTAAGATGCAGGAGCTGCATATTAGGTTGTACTCCAGAAATTTACCAAGTCCAGTGCTCCTTATTTAAATGTTCTTTCAGGCATTAACGCATTATAGCTCTGCGTGCTGGGGGGGGGGGGGGGCAGAGCATCCAGGTAAGAATCATGAACTTAAAGGCCCTGTTGAGCATGCAATAGCCAGAATGACCTTGGCAGAAAACTCAGAATGAGTCTGAGCAAACATGGCTAGAGACCATTTGAAGTCCTACAGAAATGAAGAAATTGTTTCTCCAGTCAGTGAACCTGTACAAAGTCATCCAGTGGTGATAACCAGGATGTTAACAGGCTGTTATATTCTGTTCCATGAGGGGAAAGAAAAATGCATGCCACTTGATTACTTGAGAACCAGTGTGGTATATTGGTTAAAAGCACAGGACTGGGACTCAGGTGATCTGGGTTCTAGTTCCCACTTAACCATCAAGCCAATGGGTGACTTTGGGCCAGTCAGACTCTCAACCTACCTCACAATACTGTTGTTGAGGGGATAAGATTCAGAGCAGCAGAATAATGTAAGCTGCTTTCAGTTGTTTAAATAATAAGGCAGGATATAATTCTGTTTGTTTGTTTGCACAATTTACAGACAAAATCCCTTTTATCCAATGTAGATGCTATTCCTGCCACAGATCCAACTGATTAAACACCGCTGAGCTGCTGGACTGGTTGCTTGAAAGACTGACAGTTCGAATCTGCGCAAGGAGGTGAGCTCTCCTTGTTCTGTCCCAGCTCTTGCCAACCTTGCAGTTCAAAAGCATGCAAATGCAAGTAGATAAAAAGGGACCACTTCGGTGGGAAGGTAACAGTGTTCCGTGCACCTCGGTATTTAGTCATGCCGGCCACATGGCCACGGAGACTGTCTGGGGTCAAACGCTGGCTCCCTCAACTAGGAAACGGAGATGAGCACCGCCCCCTAGAGTCAGACGTGAGTGGACTTCAATGTCATGGGAACCTTTACCTTTATCTTTACTGTTTATCTAGTTAGAATGGACCCTGTTCACTTCATACAGTCCAAGAATCTGGACAACATCCCTAGAAAACATGAGGCTTAACATGTGTGTGCTTCCTGGTTTATTAAAGCAGAAGGGATGGAGGCACAGAAAGAATGGCTGAGTTGGCAACTCTCTAGAGGGGTGTGATTTCATTATTTCTAAAAGAGGCAACAGCAAGACCTTCGTAAGCAGCACCCTTTCGATACAGATCCAGCTTTTATTCCAAATGTTATCTGCTGTTCTTTACAATTTGTCAGGACAGCAAGTTACCGAAGGGTCATCCGAGCAAAAGGCAAGGCAAAAATCCTAATAAACCGGGGGGGGGGGGGGCGGAATCTATTTTGAAACTGAGCTTACACTAAACAGGCATAACAATTAATTTAGTATATTTATATCCTGCCTTTCTTCCCGTAAGGAACCCAAGGAGGCTTGCATATTCTCTTCTCCACCCCACATCCTCATGGGTTAGGCTATGCGAGTCAGTCCGATAGGTTAGGCTGCGTCAGCGTTTGGTCCGAGGTCACCCAGTGAGTCTCGCGGCTGAGCGCTGACGAGATCCTCTGGGGTCCCATGCCCACCAAAACTAACCCACACTGGCATTTCTGTTTCTTCCAGACAGCAGCCCTGCCGCCTCCCCGCAGCCGCCTAACACACCCGCCGGCAGTCACCCTCGGCCACGCCGGAGCCGGCCCGGTGCCCGCCTGCCCGCCCGCCTCAGACGGCTCTCTCGCTAAGAGGCTGCGCGGACGTGGGGCCGCGTCGCGGCGAATCAGGGCATGGGGCCCCGCAGAGGAGGGAGGCAGCCGGAAACTTCCGCGGACGGGGAGCGCCAATACGCCGATGCCCGCGGCCGCTGCCTGCTTCGCTCGCTTCCTTACCAGGCCCAGGAAGGCGGCGCACAAAGCAATCGAGGTGCACCACTTCAGCGCCACCGCCTGCTGCTTCGCTGCGCCAACGCCGCCTCCCGCCCGGCTTCTCCTGCCGCTGCCCTCCGCCACCGTCACCGCCGGCTGAGAGACGAGCCTCGCGGAGCCTCGGAGGGGTTCCTTCGAGGATGCGTCTGCCGCTACCACCAGCTCTTCCTCCTCGTCGCCCTCTCCTCCTCCGCCATCATCTTCATCCTCTTCCAGCCGCGCGAAGCGGACCTGTTTCTTTCTCTCCACAGCGTCCGCCATCTCTACACCGAGGATCCACCGCCGCAGGTCCGTGCTGGCACCACGTGACCTCGTCAGACACAAGCCAACGGCATCTTTGCCGTTACCGAGAGGCCCCGCTAGCAAGACTACAACTCCCAGAAAGCCCCGGAGATAAACAAACTACGGCCCCGTTGCCACAGGCGACTTAACCCTTTTCTAGGTTTCTTCTGACACTCCTATTGGCCAGCATGGTGCGGGCTGTTTCCCCGATCGCCAGTGCTTTTCCAGAATCAGGGCCGCTTTATAGAAACGGCTTTGGAAAGCCTAAAAATGGCGGCTAAGCTACACTGCCTAGTTGCCTAGTTTATTAAGCCTTCATTTGCACTCCGTTAATGTCAGCGAACAGTTAAGGAAAAAAGGGAATGGAATGGAGCAGTCATAGAGATAGAAAAGAGGAGTAACAATTCGCCTGTCGAAGAACAGAATATCTTGCTGTCTGTGTGTGCGTGTGCGCTGGTTTCACAACAGCAGAAGTTGCACCTGCTGGGAGGAAACAATGGAGCAATCCACGCAATCGTAGTAGCTGTGATGGGGAAAACAACGGGTCCTCTTTATGTTATTAATAAACGGAGTGCTGGTTTGCATGAAGAATGCGTGCTTTCTTTTTCGTTTTTGAACATTTTTTTAAAATGCTTTACCAGTTTCCCATATGGTGGGGCGCGTGATGTGCGTATGGCAGAGGGAGTGGCTTATCAAGCCTTATGATGCGGTCCATTGCTAGTACTTCACCTTCAGAGAAACTGGCTTGATTTTCTAGCTGAAAATCTCATTAAAGGTAGCCCTCAAGGTGCAGTAACATCTCCCCACTTAACCCTCAGAGCCCCTTTACAAACCAAACCCAATTATCTGTTTAAGTACCTCAAAGGCTGTCACAAAGAGGAAGGTCCAGAACTCTTCTTGATGCCAGAGTGCAGGACACGGAATAATCAATTCAAGTTGTGACCACCCAGATTCAGGCTGGACACCAGGAAAAGCTTCCTCACTGTCAGAGCAACACAACAGTGAGACCAGCTGCCTAGAGAGGTGGGGGGCTCTCCCACACTAGAGGCACTCAAACTGGACAGCTGTCCGAGTGGGACGGTGTAAACTGGTGTCCTGCAACAGCAGGGCATTGGACCCGATAGCCTTCTTAGTCCTTTCTGACTACTGTGCTACGATTTTGCACTCCATTGCCGTAGGTCACTCTTTTCGAAAGTGACGTTTTTCGCGTGGACACGTGCGGGACAGAATCCCGAGGAGCTTCAAAATCCAGGATTCCTCCATCGTTTTCTATAGGTCACTGTCTTCTTCGCTTGAGACACAAAATCAGTTCCTGTGGCAACTGAGAAACCCAGTTCTAGCATCCTTATTTATCATGCCAGATGATAAATGTTTTAGTCTTTAAGGCGCCTCGCGATGGCGTTGTTTTTGCTGCGAGGCACTGGCAGAACCACCCGAGAATGGTGTGTAACCCTAAGGTGAAAGCAGAGCAGCGCAAGCGAGTGCCACGTGGCAAGTCCGGCTGCTGCCAGCGGGCCCCCCCTCAGCCTCGCCTCGTTGTGCACGTGGTTTCTGGAGCTCCACGTAGCACAGCACGCCCCCATGTTTTCTGTCACGTGAAAAGTAACGCGTCAGTTACGTTAGAGGTCGCAGAGCACGAAACTTGCGTGTTAGGGCCACGAAAATGGGTTATTAGCTTAAGAACGGGAGCTTGCCCCTTTCCCCTCTCCGACATTTTTTGCCTGCGTGCTCTCCGCTTAGGTGAGAAATAAAATTTAGCGCCCGGCGTCGACTTTTCGACGGTTTACTCGATTTGGTTTAAGCAGTAGAAGTATTCAGCGGTACAGTAAAAAATAAAGTTGCCTCCTGTAGCATTTTAACTGCACGGCTGGAAACTGGCACAAGTCAGCTAAATTTATGTTGCAATTTTACTATTTGGCTAAGAAGTCTGAAGCAATTACTTTGCGGAGAGGTAAAACATTTCTGGAAAGTTATAAACACTTCCCAGTGTAACCAGAGGATACGGGAATGCCTGAAGTGCCGTTGTTATTCAATTAAAGAATTATTACTGAGCATTGTGCAAGACACTATGTTAATTTACATTCCACTGATAAGATGACATGTTCAGTGACGTTGTTATTGATCTCCCTTGCTAGTTACTCTTTATTTCATAAATACAAGAAACAAATTCTCCCTGGGATCTATTTAATTACTCAAAGTACATGTTGCTTCAATGGTGTATCACTAGAATTTCTGACTGGTCTTTATTCTGAGCTATGGTTGTACTGCATTATTAAGTTGGATCAAGACATGATTAAAATTGTTTATAGAATTGTGCATACTTTTTCAAATCACACAATGTACATTAAGTAAAACTTCTTGCAGATATTCATAAGTAAACTTCTTGCAGATAGAAGATTTTTAAATTACATTTTTATGCATGGTGGTATCTACGTATTCATATCAGGAATAGTGTGTATATAAATTATCAATATCCTATCCATAGCATATCACTTTGGCTAAAATAGTAATCTCCTGTTTGAATTACTTCTCACACCCTTTATCAGACCATATAATTATCCAAAAGAAGCAGAAATAATTTTCAGTCAGTAACTGTTGCAATTCAACATGGAGTCCACATACTTAAGCACAGCTAATTAATCCCTGAGAGTAATAAATCATTAAATAATAATTTGATAATCAGTAGGATCCAATATAAACACAGGCACCAGCATTGCGTATATATTACCTTTAACAAGAAAAGCAGTTATGATACTGGATAGCAAAGTACAGTTTTATAGATTTGCAATATGAAAATACTCCCTTATAATACTCCCTTATAAAAGGCTATCAAGTTTATTTGTATTATTCTATATACATTTGACTCAACTTATTTTCATACAGAGGGTGCTGGGGAAAATCACCTCACTTCCTATTCTGCTAATGATTTCACTGATTCAAGGAGCATTCTCTCAGTGGAGTGACACCAATTGGTTGCAACTCATTATTTCTCAAGTTTCTAAACCAATACTGCAGATTTAAGTTGAGGCAATGTATGCCAAATATTATTCACTGTAAATAGGCATGTTCACTCACATTAAGTTCTCAGTCCTACACTCACTACCCTTACATGGGAATCAGTGCTCACTATTTACCTCTCCTGGTCATCTTTGCTATTCTGAAATCTAACATGGGCTTCTGGGGAGTTTTACCCACTGAGGCTTCTTGTTTTCTCCGTGGGAGCATATAAAACTTCCTTTACACAACTTTTGCTCCTGAGGTTTGTATATCTCTGCTTTTCTATATATACAATCAACCAAAAGGTGGCAATATAGTGGATTTGTGACCTTTCAGGAGGCTTTTGTTCTGGTTTGAAATTTAATACCAGATTTTCCTTTCTTTCAAAAACAACTGGAAACCACATGAGAGGCCCTGGAAAAGCCACAAACTTTCTAAGCAGAACAGTTATGTTTTACAGTAGTTCTTTTTTGATATAATCCTATTCAAGTTTAGGTGGAAAAAATTTCTACAATTCCCAGCACCCTCAAGTCATCACAGAGCTGTCTAAAGAATGCTTGTAGTTGTGGAACTTTTCCATCTAAACACGCTTAGGATCTCACCCTTAAATAATTAATTTATATGCAAGAAAATAGAAATGTTATAACCTAGTATATAACTGGTGCACCTATAGGCCTACTTGAAAGAAACTACATGTACATTAAAGCTCATTTGACTTGCTGCATCAGTGTATTCTTGAGTGCTGTCCATCCTCACAGGAAAATATTCATATCTCTTTTCCCTTTATAGTTTACGTAATCTCAGAGACCACAGCCCAATATTGGAAGGTAATGGGGAAAGAGTTCTGGACATGTTTTCTGTATATCCCTGTGTTTCAGTACACTCAGCATACTTTCTTTTTCTCCTGGAATTCTCTCAAAGGTTTCTCCCTCAGGTCATTAAGGCTACAGCTTGTGGAATATTAGGGACTTACAAGCATTATTGCAACCATCCCTCTAGTTCAGTTTACAAGGCTAAAAATAAGGATATGGATGAAATACAACAGCTACAGTATGATCCAGGCTCACCCTTAGATTTCTAAGAATGCTTTCATATCAGCCGTTCCTAATGATGGGCAATAAATTCTCTTTTGCTGTAAACTATGAGAAGAACAACAACTGACTAATAGTGTCCTGTCACTTTTTGTATGTAAATCTTCCTATTAATCTCAATACTAGTTGGACTGAAACACAGCTATGTGGCTACAGAGGACCAATTCAGCTGAGTGTGTAATTTTGTTTTCATTATTAAACATTACTGAACATCAGTTTCAAAATGTGTAGAAAATAGGGTTGAAAAACTTTTTGGTACAAATTGAAAGAATGATTGGAAAAAAACACACAGTGATAAAAATGTAGCTGGCTAAGCATAAACAGATTCATTTGCCCAGTATGACACCACAGATGTTAAAAACTCTGCCCTCAGAGGGAAATGAAAACCTTTCCTGCCATCTAAGAGGGAAGAGAATGGAAGAATTACAGGAGAAACGCAGGAGGACAATGATTTGATCATTATTTCATGCATATGCCCCTGAATGTGAAAAAAGCCTCAAGTTATTGTACAAACTATTGTGCACCTATCCCATGCTACAGTTCCTAAGACTGTACTTTCCTCTCCACTTTTACTCCCCTCTCCACTTTTCTCTTTTTGCTTTTGTAGTAAAATTCTCTATCCTACCCCCACGTATGTGTACACATTCCTGCAATATCTGTGAAGAAGCAGAAGCAACCTGTTAGTAACTAAACCTGTTAGTAACTATTTAAAGCCATGTTCAAACAGACTGAAAACAGCCTACCAGGAGAAACACATACACCCTGTGCACACATCCCTTTTACAAGCCTCTCAGGACCTCTTGGGGATCTTATCCCAACCTGTTAGCTGATGCTCTCTATTTTCTTTGAAGAAGTTGTTGCACATGTGTTCCCTACTGTTTCTTTTCTACAGATTTTTCTACAGATTGAAAGAAAACAGCACTTAAATTATTCTGAAGTCTGGTCTTTGAAAATGAAACAGCTGGCGAAAATCAGATTGTTAGTAGCATTACTGTATTTTGGGCCATACAATATGGAAAATACACAAATTTACATTCCCCTCACAAGCGCGCGCGCGCGCGCGCGCGCTCTCTCTCTCTCTCTCTCTCTCTCTCTCTCTCTCTCTATATATATATATATATATATATATGGTTTTAATGTTATTAGCAAACCATTAACAAAGAAGTGCTTGAACTATAATTTCTAGCCACTGAAGATGATAACAGAATAGTATTGTTGCTTCCCATTTTCAGATGAGTTAACTTGTATTAACTCATCAGGTTTATTTAAATATTTAAAATAAGGCACTCATAAAGTTACCATAATGCCATCCAGTTTCAAAAAAATATTGAGTCGTATAAAGCAATGCAACAAGGAGCCTATTATAGAATTAAACAACTGAAAATTTACAAAAATGTAAAAGATGTTCATATATATTTATTGTATTATGAAATTATGTTTCATAGTTGAAATCACCAAGAAACCATTGCTGAAAAGCATTAGGCATTCTTAAAATAACTGAAATCAATGGGCTTAGTACATCTAACACAGCATAGGATGTGACTAAGAGGTTTTTTAAAAGCTGTGAAGCCGCAAAAACAAGTTCCACAGAACTTTTAAAAGATCAATAATAATAGCTTTAAAATAGATACTACTAGAAATTCCAAGTCAATCATTCCACTGAGGAGATTATAAAAACTAATCAGTTAATAAAAGGGGCACAGTTCTAGAGTTTCAGAAATACAGTCATATGTGTACTTGTTTGTTTTTAAAGTTCTTAGATACACATCACTAGCATATATTCTGATTCTACAAAAATTCATATATGTAAAACATACTTTGAAACTGTTTCCAGAAACAAGAGAAAGACATTCTTAGCTGTTAGCAATTTTGTTTTACCATCACCACTACTTTTATAGTTTTTGTTGTGGCTTTGCTTTTCAAGTACAATCATATGGTATATTCAGTTCATAAACAAAAAGCTAACCTAGTTTTTATAAAAATAAATTCAATCTGGTAGAAAAAATATCAACTGTTAAATAACAGACTCTGATTCTTTGCTGGGTTTCTCAAATGAGTCCGAGATGCTTTTGATTTCCAGCATTTTATCTGTAGTTTCTCCATCCACAGTGTGAACTCGTTCTTTAGATTTCTTCTTTTCATGCACCCATGGGATGAAACACAATATAGCACCTCCAATAATAGGGGGAACTCCTGCTAGGTAAAAGGCTACATCATAATTACCGAGGTGGTCACGTAGCTTTCCTGAGCATAAAAGAAAACCATTATCAGTAAAATATGACAAATTAAGCTGTATTTTTGGCATGCTGATAATATTAAGATGATAAGAATCATTCAATGCAAATTACAGTAGAATACAAACCATACATGCTATGGACAAATGTACCATTAAGAGGACAAAAGTAATACTGGATTGGTTCCAGGCTTGTATTCAGTGACATTCTAGTGGCACTGGAGGAAAGGGGCAAGTTGGCAATCTTCTCTGATTCTCTTTTGCTGCAGTGTTGAGACCTCCAACACTGTTCCAAACAAATGAAGCACCATCTAGAACAATGTGGGAGATAGTGCTGCAGGAAAGAGAAGCTGGAGTAAATTGCTATGTCACCCATTTCGCCCAGCAGGAATCTGTCCCACTAGGTACTAGTTATTTCTGTGAATGGAAGTAGCCCTGTCTCTGCAGAGGATCCAGTTCACTGAGATTTTGAATCTTTGAGGTGTGGGGAAATTATTGAGGTAGCTTGTTGTCCAAAAACAAAATATTATGCAGAAGTGATCCAAGTTCACACAACATGACAACCCACTAAGGCTAGTTACCCATAGTGTATCGCCATATTGCACAAATCTAGTCGTTTTATTCATGGCTATTAGATATGTCAAATCCAAGCTCTTACAGGAAGGTTTCCAGATCCCTGTCTCACTATATTAGGTTTAGTTTCACAGCTCAAAACTGTACAGTTCACTTCATCAGCCACTGTCTCTTCTGTAACTGTTGCAAACCGCCCAGAAAACTTCAGTTATGGTCACTATAAAATTAAATTAATAATCATAATCAGTGATTCCAACATTAGACTTTGAAGGGAATGTTGATGAGGTCATTCCTCTAAGCTGTCAGAACTGTCCTCCAAAATGTTGCTTTGAGACTTAATGCTACTTTTCAATTACCTCAGTGGGTCATAAATACCAAAACAATATCCAACCAGCCACATTCTCACAACCTGTACTGTGTCAATTATAATTCCCTGCAACCCCACCACCTTTTAAATCCACGCACTTTTACAAAATGGATAATTTAGTCTTAGCTGCATTTTGGATGGACAGAGCTTTACCACTGGAATATGCAGCCCAAATGTAACCCTCTGCCCAACTCCCCAGTTCTTGCACTGCTGCTTACTGCCGGCCAGTTCTCAAGAACAGGGCATGCAAGAATGGCTCTCCTTACATGCTCAATCTCCCTATAGAATTGGGCTCCTCCCAATCTTCCAAACTATTTGGCAGGAGTCTGATTCTGCTAGGAGGTGGACAACTGTGCCCCTTTCAGTAGCTGAGCAACAAAAAAGAATGTGCACTTGTGTCATGAGAATCATCGATTGGACAGCCATTTGTATGACCTCCAAAGGACCCCCATTCCAAAATTTTGCACACTGCATTCTAGAAAATATGTTATATATTGTATCAATTTGTAAGAGATTGGTATGTGAGTTTTAAAAACCCAGCAATGCCATAGTTCAAGCTACACAAGAATTCAATGAATTAGCTTGAAGTAGGTTAAGCAATGACACAATCAGGTATAAACCCATTTTATACTTTGGATGTATTGACTACTAATTACTGTATCTTCAAATTGCTTTGTGTTGTTTCTGTAATGCTTTAAATTATTATATTGTTTTGCATAGTATTTATACAATCATTTATGTATTATGAGACTCAAGGTGGAAGCTAGAGTGTTGGACTGGGGACCTGGAAGATCCAGGTTCTAGTCCCCACTTAGCTATGAAGTTCACTGGATGACTTTGGCCCAGTCACAGACACTCAGCCCAATCTACTTCACAGGGTTGTTGTCATGAAGATAATATAGAGGTTTGTAAGTCACCTTGGGCTCCTCTCAAGAGGGAAAAAGGTGGGCTATAAATGAAATGTAATGATAATAATAAATTTTATAGAAACCACTTAGAGTTCTTAAAGCAAGTGCTATACACTCTAAATGAATGAATCCTACATTACATTCCTTCTATACATTTAAGAAGACTATATTAAATGTATATTCTACCTACCAGCAATAGGCGGACCAGCTGTCATTGGTATTGACATAATGCCCAAGAGGAATCCAATTGCTTGAGAAACATACTGCGAACCAACTAGTTCAAAGGCAATAGGTGCCATAATGCTAATGAAGCAGCCATCAAAAAGACCCATGAAGAGGCAGACAGCAATGAGGCCTCCAAAGGAATGGCATAACGGAATCATCATAGACAACAGGCCAATGAAGCAAAATGAAATCACCTACACATTGGGAAAGGAAAGTGTAAGCAACAAATCACATAACAGAGATACAGAACATATGCTTTCAGGGCAAAAACAGTGCTCAAGGCTGTATCCAATTGAGTCCTTTCACTCACAGAAAGATCAAGAAGAAGCGTCCATGAGATAATTTTTACTGATTCCCCCTTCCCCCAGCAACTCCCTCCCCCAAGATTGCTTCAATCCATCTTGGCAAACTTTCCTGGTCACACACACGTACACACACACTCCAAAACAGGTTTTATTGAATAAAATATGTACTCAATAATTACTTTAGAAATATAGCTAGTAATACTAGACATTATATGAATTCCAGGATGGTGTTAATCTGTATACTACAAAAAGTCCTAAGTAGATAAAAGGAATTAAAATAAATACTATAGACATCCATACATTGGGTTCAAATGGATAAGAATTGATTCTCAGGTTCCACTTGTCTAAATGGAGGACTGCAGTGAATATGTCTGGGACTATATTTTTTAAAAAATTATACTATTGTTTCATTATAGACAATTAATTAAAATTAAAGTAATAAATTAAAAATTAATAAAATGTTTATTATGTTTATAATTCTACATAATTGATATAGAATTAAAATATTTAATTGATTTTATAGAAAATATATTTTCTATATTACACAAATGTTTAATTCTATATCAATTATATAGAATTATTAAAATACATTAATTCAAATTAACAATTAACCATGCTAGGTCATGGTCTCAAGTCGTGGGTCTGGAGACAAATGGTTGGGCTATGGTTTTGGGACAGCTGATCAAGCTGAGGCTAGGCACGTCTAAGACTCTGTGGGGCAAAGAAGGGAGGTGCAAAGGGACATGGGAGAAGATGGTGAGAAGGAATTAGAATGGTTGGTCTCTAGACATAGGTGCTGTGCAGTAGCTAGTCTTTCCACAGTACCTGGAAAATCTAGCATTTCAGACAGCTAGTTTCTACAATTCTTTTCATCTTTCAGCTAGTTTTTGTGAATAACCAGAGCCACTAAGACTCCAATTTTCATTGAGTGTCTTTACCAAAACCCTAGGTCATGAAGGGGGTCAAGGGGTACCACTGAAAAGAGAACCAAGACACAGTTCTTCCAACAAGTCAATCTGGGCAAGGCATTCAACTAAAAAGCTTTTCAGAATATAGACCTAATTTTTACATGCACCCATCTTGCCCATCAATCAATAAAGAAGGTAAATACCGAGGCAAAGTCTACAATTTATAAGGAAGGGAACCCTACAAAAATTGGATAGGCCAGACTTGACTGCAAATCTGCCATTGAAGTCTACATACACTTCAATACAAATGATTTGTGGATGAAAAAATACATTCAAGGACATGTATACATCTGAAAAATGTGCCTTTGAAAAAACATGACTATGTTTTAATCATTGGGATAAGAATGCATACATGTTAAAGATACACTCAACTGTGTACACATTGGAAAGAATAAACTTGAAAATGCACTCAAATTGTCATTTGAAAAATAAAAAACAAAGCTTGAAATCAGATACAGAATTGGAAAATGCTTTGAGATGGAATTCAGAGAACTCCAGAAAACTTGAGTTTTGCCGATTTACACATTTCTCTGAAAGATACCTTTCCCAAGATCCTAGTGGATCATCCTAAAGGTGGAGTTAGGGTACAGGGAAATTCCTGCAACTGGTATGGGAAAGATACATCATGTATGTTGGTCACTACTTCAACAGAAATGTGAATCTAGGCAACTGGAATGGATGGTCCAGTGGGAACGGATTGATGGGGTTCTGTGACAGAGCTCCAGGTTCAGTGACTTGAGTGCAAGGAGGTGAGAACTAGTGGACACAAGCCAGGCCTCATATTCATTACACACTATTGTTTGCACCATCAGGAGGACCTAACAGACCTTGTCACAAACCAGTAGCATATTGTTCCAAGACCATGGGAGGGCCAGGAAGGTCAGAGCCCTGGGTTTTTATATTGTTTTTCAACAAAGCATACAAAAACAAGTGCTTTGAACCAACGACCAGACAAAACAGGCAAAAGACTAGGAAGATGTCTTTGGTCAGCACAGGGAGTGGATCAAACCTCACTCAGATAGACTAAATCTAATCAATGCAGAATGATCATGTGCCCTGCCATCACACTTATTTGTAATCATGCAGCCCCTCAGATATGTGTGACTCTGCCTGGAATGTATTCATGCCTAGTTCCTTGTTGATGTGCTTTAATTTAATCACAGGGCACTTAATTTCAGTGAGGCTTACTGAATTTTTGTCCTGGGTATGTAACCAGATGCTAATGACAAGATTGTTTGCTTTGGCCTCTTCATCCCTCTCAGCATGGAAATGTAAGTCCTTGAAGCTTAATTTTACACAAAACATCAAGCTGTGCTTCTTAAAGTACAGGATTTCAGGGAATATGAGGTGAAAGTGTCACTCAGGCCCTACTGCTGGACAGCCCACTAACAACTGTGTGGGAGGAAGAATAAGCAAGCTGCAAGGGGGATTTGCAATGCTTCCTTTTTCCATTCACAGAAGCTCCACTAGAACAAAGAACTTTCTATGAGTGGAAGGACACAACTGGATACAGCCTACTGATCTAACCTTTTAAAAGTAAGCCCCCTGCCCCTTAGTAGATCAGTAGTTGACAGAGGTTTCCTGGCATCTTAGATCTTTGGGAAAAGAGAAAAATCTTTTCCTTCTTCACCACTGAAGTAAATATTTCTCTTTAGTTAAGGAAACAAGCAAGATTGAACACAAAACCGCCACCAAATTCAGTTTACTGGAACCTTCAAGGGCACAGAAGTCTCCACACTGTACTCACACCACCCAGCAGAAATTGAGCATACTCTCCATTGCAACATAACATTTCTTGCAAGCTTGGTATTTTTCAGGGAGACTAATACTTGTATATCATTTGGAGGTTCACTTTTTAAAAAGATCTTTTATTGACATACTTAATGTGTTTTAACACAGCTAAAATTACCCTAGCATAAATATGTGCTTAAAAGCCAAATTCAAAATCATGTGCCATGCTAAGTTTAGGATATTGGTTTCACTATTTCTATCAGGCAAGGGGTCAGTCACTGCTGATCTAATCTCTCTCTGCTCAGACTTGTTGTTTCCTAACACTGAAGCTTCAAAGGGGAATCCAGTTAGCTTCTCTTCCTGCTATCTACAGACTCCTGTGAATCAACCATATGTGTCCCTTCCTAATCACACAGGTAAGGAAATATTTACTTAGACTGCAATAGACAGAACAAAAGGATTTACTTCGATGCCTTCTCCTGCAAGTGACCCTGCTGAGTCTTGAATGTAAAGATATCCTTCTTTGCATTTTGATTAAAGTTCCCTATGGGAGCCAAACTTCAAGGGCAACTATTGTTTCATCCTGCAAGTTTCCCTAAGATCCAACAGGCTTCCTATCCAATTAAGCTTTCCACAAAGGCATACCTCAGCATGCCCATCATTCTATTAGATCATAGCTGGTCCTGGACTGCATGGATCCACGTTGCATAGAAACAGAGTGAGTTAGAAGGGGTCTCCTAGGCCATCTAGTCTGACCTCCAGCTCCAGCCAGCTCTGCTCATGACACGCCTAACATGTGCATGCCCAGCATATGTTTGAACTCCCTCACTGATAGGGCTTCAACCACCTCTAGCTGCTTGTGTTAAGTGATTTCTAACAATTCTAGCAAACCACAGCCATTCTCCTAAAGAAGGAAACCTTGCATATGCAATCCTGTGAAGATGACAGAATGCTATGGAAAGAAACAACAAATGCGGAAGGAGGGCAGGAACAAGAGTGTAAAAATACAGAAGACAAAATGGACAGGACCTCCAAAACCTAGTAATAGACAGACAGCACTATCCCATATCTGGGAAAGGGTAGATCTTAAAAAAAAACTATTTAGTATGGTGGGCATTCATTGAACACTCAAAGTAATATGCTCTTTTAGCCAATCACTTTGAAATCAGTGTGGTCTCTAGACTCTATTGCATTCCTGATTATGACTGGACTACAGTGGGCAACATCCAATGCCCACTTCCTTTTCTCTAACTTATTTGAAGATAAGATGGTCAAGATGGTCCTCATCTTGTGTGCCATAGTTCCTGGCATCCCTAGATGCTACTCCAAACATGCAATGGCAGCATCTTACAAAGGCTCTGCTAGCAGCCCACTACAAGCCTTCCTTACTATTTTCCATCTCAGTTAATTTGAGAAAGTGGGATGACAAAGAGCACTTTCTGTTGACTAAGAGCTCTAGAATGGGTATGATAAATATAGAATTATTTCAGTGAGTCTAAATACTGTTCCTTAAGGAATTGCTTCTATTACAGGTAAGTAACATATTTTTCACCAGCACACTAAAAGCTCATAATGGAGGATGGGGGTTTAGAAAAGTGTTATTTTCACACTCCTGAATACCTTTTGCAGGAGTCTGAGCAGTCTAGACTGTGATTATATTAGTAAGGGAGATTTAGTGGCTTGTGTTCACAGAATCACTAGGGAAGGGTATCAGATTCCCATGTACCATTATTTTGTGACATCTTAAATAACTCTTTTTAAAATGTGTTTTCTCACAGGGCAAGCCAGTCAGTCTTCATACCAAATAAATGTAAGAGTGATCACTGAACTCTTTAAAAAATGAATATGGCCACACAGGGAGATACTTTTCTACCTACTTTGCTTGAACCTCCCTTATGTTAAATTTACTTTTTTGAGATCATATTCTATTCTCAGAATAGATGTGAATAAAACTTTTAAACAAGAAGTGGTTTATAAGCTAACCCACTGTAACAAGACTTTCTGTCTGCACTTGGAAGTCTGGGTTGGATATCTGGCAACCAGTTGGGTTTTCAGAGATTTAAGCATTGGATATTTCCAGAATTCAAACATCCAAATGAATTTCTTGTGATTCATAGGAGTACTGTTTCATGGGTGTTGTGGATTATAGTACCTGGGACATAATGCAATTATGAGTGAATTATGCAGGTGTCTCCAAGGTTTAATTAAGTTTCTCTTCTGGCTTGACTGGGCCAGCTGTGCTACTAATTACTTGGCAACAGTGACAGAAGTACAGAAGGTTCTTAGATGCTGGTGCCAGTTATTGAAGAATATCTGCCAGAATCAGCAAGATTCCTGTAAATCACAAGAAATTCTACCAGATTTGATACTAGATTCCAATGCAAGCGGAATATGACATGATTAGAGTTGTGCCAATAAAAACCCCCTCCACTACCTGCACTAATTGTCTGAAAATTTTTGCCATAACCAATGACATCTGATTTATTTTGGCTGGGATATTCCTAGAATTCATATACTTTAAAACCTAAAGGACTGGAGAGAACCCAAATAAGAGAAATCATCCCACATATTCTTGCCTTACTGCTCAGATATCCAAAGGTTCTAAGCATTTTCATGCTTTGTATGAAAGAAAGCAAAAGGAAAGATTTTCTTTCCTCTTGAGATATGTTGTAATTTGACTTAACTGGCCCCATAAGCAGCAAGTCATGCATTGTCTTACGTGAACAGTATGGGAAGCAGATGGAAATTGGGAGTCACATTTCTCCTCTAGCTCACACAGAATCTTTCTGACATGACAAAATGCTTCCCCTGGAAATAGCAGTAATACAGCAATACCACCAGATCCACTGACTCAGCAACCATGTTTTTGCTTAATGGCAGCTGACTAGAGTCCAATGATCTCATGTGGTCTCACCCAAGAGTACAATATACACATTGGGTTGGTGGGGGTGAGGGAGTAGCTGCTTCCAAGTGGGTTGGTGGGGAGAGGCATCCAGGAACAGGCCTGTTGTTGTGGGGAGGAGAGATGAGCTGATAGGTGGAGATTTGGAAGCAGAGGGGTAGCACCCAGAAAGATTGATTGATTGCTTTTATTTCCCATCTTTCACTTTGTCTCAGGGTGGTATCATGGAAATTCGTATTGTGGATCTTTTAAATCCACAGCTCCCCTTACAATTGCCCTTTATCTTAGTTGGTTAGTTACATCACATAGGTTATAAAGAAGTGTCCAACAATTATTTTATACTGCAAGTAAATTGCATATGTGATATCGCATTCTGTCAAATTTGATTTTAATTTACATATGCAGATAATGATATGAATATTCTGTATCATAATATGTAGGACAGCAATGCAGACAGAGAATCCACCAATGTGGCCTTTGGCTTCGGGTACTATATTATTTATAAACTTATCAGTGCTGTTATACAATAGCTGTACCTGTAAATAAACCTTTTTTGTACCAGGAATATAATCTGCAATTCTGCCAAAAACCAACCGGCCAACTCCTGAAGTAATGCCAAGGCAAAGCAGAAGAGTCACTTCTGGAACATTTTCACCAATGCGTTCCTTCACATGATTCAGCTGTTTGGAAACAGAAAGGAAGATGAACTGAATTTACAAGCAATGAATTTACAATCCTGTAATCACACAAAAGGTGTTTGCTTAGTACTGTCACCCATATTTGTAAGTTTTCTTACTTTCATAGACCCACTTTGGATCAGTTAATAAGTAAGCCAATATATGAATGCACCTTCTCCCCAAACACCCATCTGTCCTTCTCTTTGTAGCATGCCTGAATGTAATGTAGAACTAGCCTGTCTCCTAACTGAATTTCAAACTGTGTTTTAGAATCCTAATTGTTCCAAAGCTGACCAGAATTACCGAATTTGGGGAAAAATGGAAACTGTGGTTAAATAGTTTAATTGTAGTGTATACAAAACTAAGAAGACAGGCAAAAAGCTTGTTCATACATCAGTTTCTTAAACTAAAATTATGATTGAAGTAGTCTTATAAATTATGGAACAAAGTTAGTACTCATATTCTGTGCAGTTCTTAATGAGTTTTAAAGAAACAATGCAGTGGTTTTATTGGCTGATCTTAGCAATGACTTAGAAAAATGTATTGCTGTCTATTCAGCTGAAGAAAAAAGCATCAGTTACAAATAAAAGTTAAACCTATTGAATTCAATATCAGCTATAGTAATTACAATTAAATGAACATGAAATGCATTGATCAGTCTGTATATTAGGAAAAAATCACTGGAAGATCAGAGTGTTCCTGAATTAAGTTTTTTTTTCTTTTGAGTAATTATTGAAAAAAAATAAAAACTGAACAAAAAAACCCCAAAACATTTTAACTAATTTTTGAAACTTATATTCTTAAAAGCTGAAATTCAGAGAACAATAAGTCAGTTTCTTATACTGTGTCTTTCACATTTGGAATGTGGAATCATTCATTTGGAATCAAGCCTATACCTTATTTGTGATCAACTCTGAAAACATCATTTGTAAGCTGGGAAGATGTGAATGGATACAGTGTAGATTCCACTTCATCTTGTTGTGCTCATTAAGAGGTGTCAAATACTTCTGGAGTTGACCTGGTTATTATCTTTTTGGAAGTTTAATGTGCAAGAGTGATATTGGGAGCTGGGGGCGAGATTCTCTCCCAGCATCCTTGTATTCACGTGTTAAGAAAGATCAAAATGTCTCTTGCCCATTCAAGGCAACAATGCTGCTAAATCAAATAAAATAGCTAAAACACCTTCACAAACCAGCTTAATTGAAACTATTAATAAATTTGTCATGGAGTAGTATCAATATAAATTGGTTTTAAAAGTTTCCCTCAGAGTTTTAAATATACTGGATGTAAATGCTAAAATTCTTTGAGTACAATAGTTTTGTGTAGAGAAAACCAATAGGATGATCAAGTAGAGTTCATAATACAGTGAAAGATAACAAGCTGGTTCTTTATACAGTAATGTCTTGATAGTATTGTCCTGTATTTTTATATATGAGATATGATTCACTTTTAATTACTAAACCCATTCAACAGAAGCATGCATTTATCTTTTTTAGCTTATTTGACAAAGCAAAATATTTAAACTCCTTAGATTTTTCATAATTAGTTTGTTTGAAGCCATAAGTTATATAGGTGCTGGTTTGGAATAGACTGTGTTTGAAACTGGGTGAAATTTGAAAGCCACAGTGCTGAAAAGCCAAATGAACCCAGATTACCTTAGTATCTGCTGCTGTTCTCCTCACTCTGTGACATACTGATAACATACACCTGTACTTGAAAGTATGCCTGATTTATTCCAGTCGAACTCTCTGCCAAGTAAATTTACCCAGGAATGTGTTATGACAAACGGAACATTTCTAGGCTGCAGTTGTGTGCCAGGATTTCTATTCCGCCATGAAGCTTACTGGGTGACTTTACTGCATTTACTCTTTCTTAGCATAACCTACCTCATTGGGAATGTTGTGAGGGTAAAATGGGACAAGGGAGAAGATAATAAGCTCTGCCACAAATTTCTTAGGGGAAAGGCATAATAGAATACATAAATAGCAATCTAGAACTCTCCAAGCAAAACCAACATTATACTGGCTTAGTAGCACTCACTCTGGTCCAAGGAAAAGGGAATTGCTACTTGAACCTAGAATATGTTTTTCAATTCCAAAAGGAAGCAAGCTTGGCCAATAGCATTCATCTTGCTTCAAAGAGCTGAAATGGCCACAAGAATGAAATAAGGTCAGTATTTATAATCACTATTACTCACAGCCATTCAAAATGCACAAAAAGGGAACTAAAAAGCAGAAGAAATTTGGCCATATGCTATTAACTCGTAGACTGGCTTCACACTTTGGAAGTTATAGCATTGACCAGGTTCAAACAATCAAACAGCCCACTAAGGGATGTTTAAGCCATAGTGAACCATGGTACATGCTAGATGGCATTTCTGTATATTTTCCACAAGTGGGTAGTGTCATGGTGTTTCATCCCACACACCATAAGTTAAACAAAACCCACATAACCCTGTAACAGACCATGGGTTTGTTTTATCCTCACATAGCCCATGGTGACTGGATTCAGATGACCCAACAACCCTCAGTTAGGAGCTGAACGTGTAAAATGCCAGCAAGCACATACTAGAATGGATTCAATGGCAGGCTGTTGTGAACTGGCCCATTGTATATATGGCATGTGTGTGTTTTACAGTTGTTATAAATAGCGGCATAGCGGTACATTTTGAAATGCAGGAACTTATCATGATAGCCCCTTCTGTCATGTCCACAGGGAAAACCCATAGACAGACCCACTGAATATACACACCCTGCTTTCCTATTATTTGCAAATGTGCTAAAATGGTTAAAAGAGCCATCATAACACAAAAATATCCAAAAGCAAACAAACTACTACTTACATTTCACAATTACTTTATGCATAATTCTTTCTTCCAATTGCATACTTTCAACTACTCATAAGAACATAAGAAAAGTCATGCTGGATTAGACCAAAGGTCCATCTAGTCTACATGGTGGCAAACCAGATGTCCACAGAATCCCTTGAGCAAGATAGGTACAAGACCTCCACCTGCCCAAGCCCTTCAGCACCTGGTGAATGCAGGTATGTCACCTCAGGTAAAAGACATAGCACAAAGCCAGCAAGGCTTTTAGCCACTGATAGGCTCCTCCCTCATGAATTTGTCCAATCATCTTTAAAGCCATCCAGATTGGCAGCCATTACCACTTTCTGTGGTAGCAAATTCCATAGTTTAACCATATGCTGTGTGAAGAAGTACTTCCTTTTATCTGCCCTAAACCTCCCACTAATCAGCTTGATGGTTCAAGTGCTCAAGTGTTATGGAAGAGGGAGAAAAAGTCTCCCTCTGTACTTTCTCCACATGGTGCATTATTTTAAATCCTTTTATCATGTCTACCCTTACTTGCCTTTTTTTGAACAGTCCCAGTTGTCATAGCCACTCCTCATATAGGAGCTGCTCCAGTCCTCTGCCTTCTCTGTATTTGGTAGGTAAAGTGACTAAAACTGGACACAAAATTCCAAGTATGGTTGCACCAACATTCTGTATAAGAGGAAGTAAGTTTTTGGCAGTTCTATTCTCTATTCCATTACTAATTGTGCCTAGCATGGAGTTTGCCTCCTTCACTGCAGCTGAGCACTGGGCTAATGTTTTTATCAAGCTGTCCAGCATTGCCCCAAGAACTCTTTCTTGCTCAGACCCCATCAGTGTATACTTGAAGTTGAGATTTGTTACCCCAACATGCATTATTCCACACCGCTCTGCTATATTGAACTGCATTTGCTATTTTAATGCCCATTCTCCCTGCCTTGAGCCCCTCAGAATCCCTGTTGGTTTTAATCACCCTTAAAACATAGAAACAGAGCAAGTCAGAAGGGGTCTCCTGAGCCATCTAGTCTGACCCCCAGTTTAACGTCATCAACAAACTTGGCTACTTCACTACTTACTCCTAATTCCAGATGGTTTATATATAGCACTGGTCCTAATACAGAACTCTATGGGACTCCACTGGTAACATGTGTCCATTAGGAGAAATGGCCATTTATTCTCATCCTAGGGCTTCTATTCTTTAACCAACTAGTGATTCATAAGAGGACCACCCCACTTTTATTTCATGGCTGCTCAGTGTGCTCAGGAGCCTTTGGTGTGGGGCTCTGTCAACTTACAAAATGCATTTAACAAAAGATCTTCAACCAGCTGATATGCAACTGCTGTCTTTTAACTAGAAATGCAAACAATCTTGCACAGAAGCATAAATTACATCAAAGAAAAAGAAAAGCGTCTCTGCTTAACTATTTGCCTTATTTCCTCTGTGCTAAGGTAACACAAACAACAGTAAAATCTGATAACCTCCTTATCACCTCATTCACTGGCCAGAGCAAGAGGCAGGGTCAATTACCTTGGTACACTGGCAGATAACTTATTAGTTTCTACTCTGAAGAGAGTTCCAGAGCTACACTCCCCTGCATTCCCTCTCCACTACACCTCCAACTGAGGTTAACTTCATAGAGTAGTTTTAACTAGAATCATGCAGCGAGAGCATTTGATAAACTAACAGAACTACCTGCACAATTTAAGTGGTTTTCTAGTACCTTTGCATTTAACTCCTCAAAGGAAGGCAGGCAGTATCTCATTTCTAATAATCACTGGTGGTAATATTTAACAACAACAACACCCCACAGCTGAAGCTCTCTGGAGGGTTTACAACAATCCATAAAAACAGACAATAAAAATGCAATTAGAACCACCAAAGAGTTATAACTCCATTTATTTAATCTTCTGAAGGTACATGAGCTCAATCATTTTGAAAAACGAAATGAAACGAAAACAAAAAACCTAACACCACTAGTGCTCAAAAGTGGTAAATCCATGAGATCATTGAAATTTTCTTTATGACAGATAAACTACCACAAAATATGACTGCATATTCCTAATTCCTATGGGGAAATGAAAGAACTTAAAAATAAAAAGCAATATATAGAAAAATACTAAACACAGAGCAAATACATTGCCCGCTCTTGTTCTGTACTAACTGCTTTTAAACGGGAATGAAGACTACTTGAAAGATATTCAGCAAGAATATAGCTCTGGTACCAGACTTCAGTGCGGCTTCAGGCATGGTTTTGCTGATGGGCCCCCAATGAAAGGCTAGAGTTTCTTTCCCACTCCAACTAGTGGGCCCTTTTCTGTCTGCCAACCTGCCATTGCTTGTTCTGCCATCAACCCAGCAGACATTGATATATTTTCCCAGCAGGTGGCAGCAGTGCTTTTGCATGGGAGCCAAGTCAGCATTCGACCCCCCCCCACACACATACACACACTAGTAGCCCACCATGTAAAATTACCCCAAATGCAATGTTGATATCAGGCTGGACATTGTATCTGGAGTAATTTAACATGGTGGACAAGTCACTGTGAGTGGGAAGAAGCACATCAACCCAGTTCCCAGGCAAAAGAGCAGCCACCTGCTGAGAAACTCTACTTCCACAGGTAAACAAGGACAGGATGGTCCCTTCTGAGCCCTCAGCAACTGTTCAACCACACCTCCCCCAACACTGACCCAACTACTACTCATGGCATATAAATTTATGAAGATTTTAAGAGTAAAATGTAATTACATGCTAATCACAAATCAAAATACTATAATTATAAATGCCATTTTTGAATTTTGTTTTATTTGCCCATTGAGTACCTTCCTTTTTCCCCTCCAAGCATAATGCCTCATGCCATATGAGGCTCTGCTTCAACTCCCTGTGTTCTCTCAGTTTCAGAAGTAGTTTGATAAGTGGCATGGAGTCTGCTTCCAAGTTTGGAAGGAAAGGGACTTTAGAAACACTAAAGCATTTGTGATGTTCATCAAACTGTCTTCCATATGCTTTGCGTTCTTTCATATTAAGGTTAACAGCAGCAAGCTCTTGCGCCTCTTGCGCCTCTAAATAAAAAATGAATAATTGGATGATAAATGTGAAAAGTAAGTGTGGATGACAAATTTCATGAGGACATGAAAGATTCAAGCTGCTGAACTGGGCATACTTACCTGGGATTAAGCACCAGTGTGTCCAGTGGGACTGACTTCTGAACAGACATGCGTAAGATCATGCTCTAAGTATTAACTCCCTACTCAGCTCTGCAAAATAGATACATTTTAACCTATTGTGAACTCTTTGAACACAACAAAGAAGTCAAGTGGTGACTCACGATGAATCATCTTTGATATACAATGCCAGCCTTAGCCAGATCTGGTTATTTTATAGGTGTAGCATCTGCTTTTCTTCTAGTCTTTTTGTCATCTAGTATTTTGTACAAATTCTAAACAAAGAATATCTCCCAAGAAATAAAGTACTAAGAAGTAGTTGCTGATAATTATGATGAATGGTCATCAGTTACACCTGGCGTGAATAAGCAAAATTAAAAAGAGGAGTGTACTGTGGAAATGCTGTCTTCACAGAACATGTATAAGATATCACTTTTAGATGGATGTAAAGAGGCTAGACTAATCAAGTATATGCACTGCCAGATCAATATTGACAAGTGCAAGGAAGGGATAAGAAATGCAGAGTCACAGAACTATAAAAAGGGGGGAAATGTCACTAACCTGGGCAGTCAAATGCAGCAGAAGTTGAGATCTGAAGGAAGATAAATGTAAAGATTAGAAAAGCAAGTAAAGCACACAGGAGCCACTGAAGATCTGGTGCCTTAGAAAACATCCATCTAAAAACTAAGGTGGCACTGTAATACAGGTACCATATTAACTTTGGATAGGAAAAATGTGTGGAAGGTGGCATGGTTGAAGGAGAAACAAAAAGAGAGAGAAGGGTGGAGAGAAGGGGAAGAAAAAGAGGTTAAGAGAAAGATGATGTGAAGGGTTATTATGTTTAACATCATGCTTGTGAATATCTTTACAAATCATGAAAATAGTAATACCTGACTTACAATATTACACTAGCAATAGACATAAGAATAAGAATTATTTTTAAAAAGCTAGTTTCCATCAAGACAGCAATACAAAAAAGTGGAAGAAAATTGCTTAGAAAAACTCAATACAAGTAGCACATAAAAGTAGTACTGAACTCATACAATTAAAAGTGTATTATATATATGATTACATGGTTTGGTTATATATTCCTTTGTCACTCTGAAATAAATGCATCTTATGAAAGCTATGATTAGACTGTGCCCTACATATTTGTTTTAAAGAGCAGAATAAGATAGACACACAGCATTCTATATTTCAAAGGAAATAATTATGTTCCAGTACATTTTTCTATCAGAAACTGACTTACTGAACTTATCAATAAAGTTATAAAGAAAGAAATACTGAAAGATATAGATGAGAATTTGAGGCCAGCAGGGTAGGACAGCCTGCAAACATTCTCCAGGAAGGAGGCAGAAAAGCCTCATTCCACAGACAGACCTCTGTATGGATTATGAGAATCCAACCCATTTGAAGCACATGTCATAGGAACAAATAATGCCACCTGTACCATATCCCAGGTGAAATCCATGAATTGTGCCCTCTTGGGCTTCATTCCAAGGCAGATCTGAACAGAACAAATTTAGTCTGAATGTCTGGGGAAAATGAACTAACCATTATTCTATTGAGAAGTTACTGAAATCACTGGAGGTTAAGTTGAGGCTAGATAGGCCTCTAATCTTGAATGATGCTTTAAGCATCCCCAGTGTGATGCCCTCTAGATGGTTTGGAATACAAATCTCTTCAGCCGCTGGTAGCATAGCCAACAGTCAGATGATAGGACCTGTTGTCCAAAATAACCTGGGGGCATCACATTGAAGAGAGCTGCTTTAAGAATAGGTTTTCTGCTTTAAACTGGCCAAGATAATATGAACTTGCTTTTCCAGTCAGGGCTACCTACAGACTTTTCACAGTCAAGCTGAGAAGGCCACCCACCACTGCTCTGCATCAGATTAATCTCCAGCTCCAAGTCAACATCAAGCACATATTGTGCAGATGTCTGTTCTTGAGCAGTGCCATCTTGTCCAACATGGTGCTTTATTGGCCCAAGTGCAGCGTACTGCACACAATGCATATGCCAAGTGTTGTTCTGGAAGTACTTCCCCTGCTACCACCAAGTTTCTGAAGCTGAGTCCAAGTCAACATAATCTGAACCATTATCCTCAAAATTCTTCTGATAGGATTTTTGATCCACCTCCTTTAGTACCAATTCCAACTTTTAAAAATTCGTAGTTATATACAAAGAAAGCCTTAACCAGCACTAGAATAGACACACAATCTGGACAAAATATGACTGAACAGGAACTATTCTAGATGTGCAGCAAAGGACAGGTACTGAAATTAAGATGCTCCCTTTCTAAATCCTAAGGCAACCCCACACCAATTGCAATTGCAGTTATTCAGCAATACTCTCCCTACCATGGAGGATTCCTATACTTCACGAATAAGCAGGGGAATTTCCTGAAGAAGCAGTATCAGTAGTGTCAGACTAGCACAATCTATCAAGTTTACAAAACATCAGATAGTGTTAAAAATAAGAAATTTCAAGTCAAGTCCAAAAACAAAATCTACAAGTAATAAGCAATGGCACTGTAAGTTGTATTAGATACAAAGTACATATTCAAAATATCAAAAGATACATTGGAGCAAAACTAAAGAACATTTTCTCACCTAATCTGTGAGAATATATGTACAAGCAAACTCCCTTTTGCCTATGGAAAGGTATTCCTAAGAGAACACTCCTATGTGCCCTGTCTATTAAGGAATGAATAGAGCTTCCTGCTCTCAGTCTTTGTCACTGTCAGAGGCATCAATTTTTCCCTCTTTCTCCTGATTTGGAGAAAAAATAATTTTAAAAAATGAGATGACACAACACATAAAACCTCTTCTTCCCACCCTAGCCCACCCAAGGGAGGAAAGGAAAAGAAGATGGAAAATGGGAGGATAATAAAACAAGGAGCTAGATATAGTAAAAGAGAACACAGTGTAAATGGTTGAATACAGAAGAAATGGTGGTGGAAGGGATCTGGTGCAATGAATTACAAGTAGGAGGTACACGAGCAGAGGAACTGAGGTAACACATGGAGTTGCAAGCTTTTTCTATATGCCAGTTTTTCTGTGCTCCACAAGATCAAATACAAATTAAACATTTCCATTTATCCATCTCAATCCATAGGCTTCACAAACTTTTCTAAGGGTATAATTCTTATGTTAAGATGAAACATGATTGTCTAAATGTAGTCATTCATTCATCTGTTGTTCCCCTTCTCCCATGTGCAAAATAGTCTTTGTCTACATAATTTAACTTTTAATTGCTGCAAAATCTGTAAAACACAAAAGGTGCACAGTATTTTAAAATGCCTTTAGCTGAAAAGATGGCTCACATAATGTCTGTTTCTGCTTTGGATTTTCTTCAATTAAAATTGGGGCAGGCAACCTTTTTGGGCCATTGGTACTCTAGGCAATCTAAGAAACCAACCTGGGCCTCACCACAATATGGCTGCCATCAAAAGTGTAGCAGAGGACAAGTATCCAGCCCCAAACTCCTAGGCACAAGGTAGAATTGGGTTTGAGTCCCAACAAACAGTACAGCTCCTTTGAATGCACAGTTTTCAGCATGAACAGAAATCTATTTCACAGCCACACTAACCACTGGTTCAAAAAAAAAAAAAATTAATGAAAGGGATAAAACATCAGGAAAGGTGTCTGGAAGCACCCTGATTATCATAGGCACAACATGCCTAAGCCTGAATTAGACTATCAAGGGGAAATGTTTAGTACTTTAAAAATATGCATCAGTTCAATATATTTAGTTACATGGAAAATAAAATCTAAAAATAAGAAAAAAACATGATACTTACTAGGTGAACATAAGGTATAAAGTATCCAAATAAGGCAGTTCCGATCCCCAAAGTCCATATTCGATAACCCATAACTTTGAAAATGGAGAAGTCGAAAATTGTTTTTGCAGGAGGACATTTGAACTTGCCTTTTCCTTCACTTCTGTTGGCATTAGAAATGAGAGGCTTATAAGTAAAGCCAGCCAGGAAGAGAATAAACACAAAAATACACAGGACCCGGAAAGTGTTATATAGGCCAACTGAGGCAATCAAGGCATTTAAAAGAAAAGGAAGTGTTACAGTGAACAAGCTACTGCCAGCAGTGACAATGCCATTCACCAGTCCCAGGCGTTTCTTGAAATAATGTGCCAAAATGACCAAGGATGGCTGATAGGCAAATGAACAACCACAACCAAATAGGATTCCATAAGTGAAGTAGAGAGGTTCAAGTGATCTATAACAAACAGAAAAAGGCTGTCAATCATAATGTTATGCACATCTTATTTTATTTATATAAATATAAACTTATATTTGTATACATAAATATTACTTGTATAAATATAAGTAAATATCTTTATACTATCTTTGGCCCTAGCAAGAGCCCCCAAGGCAGTTTACAACTTGTGACATTAAAACTTGAATTAGTCAGTTCATAAGTAAAAACTAGCAGTTCCTAATTTTCAAATGTATAATAAGCCCTGGCTTTAATCAAACCTGAATATTTTCATAATTCATAACTAAAATGATTACATGTTACTTTATATTTTCTGTGTCTACACTGTCTGCATGGTTGGCATGAATAAGCAAGCAAATTCTGCCATTTCTGTGTACTCTCTGTAGTTTGTTGCTATAATCTCATCTTTCTAAAAAGTAAATGACTACACCATCTGCTAATGGCTGCTTTGGTTTTCCAGCTAAAAATATCCCATAACTGACCATGCATAAACCTCATCTGTAAGGTCATTTTCATTCACATGCTGCCTTTTGGACTCACTCACAGCCCAAATCCAGTGCTAAGTCACATACAGAAATTTCACACTCCATAGACCTACATGTTGCCACACATACATTTCACTTTTACCACAGGAAAACATTGTTTGACCATACCAGATTGACTTTTAAATAGGGTAGTGTGCCCCTCTTCTCCTGGTAAACTAATTCTACAAATTTCCATAAATTTGCCTTAGTATATTTCTAAATAATTTGAACTTGAAAGGTGCAAATATCTATTTAAACTTTGCTAGTATCTATCATACATATAATCATAACAAACATTTCAAGAGTTGTCACCTAACAATATACCAATTTCACAATAACTGCTTTATTTCTCAAGAGCAACCATATTTTATCTAATCCTTAAAGAGCAAGTTACTCTTGCCACAGCTTATCATAGAAGTTCAGGAAACATTTCATTTGCAGTTGCTGATTTCCAAGCTTTCTATTTGCTTTACTAAGTTCCTGGAAATATGAAACATCGCCTATGCCAAAAATACAGATGTGACTAGGCTCCAAACATTATTACTCTAGGTGCATCCAGGCTTACAGAATTTGACTCCTTGACCTTCCACATTTCCCAAGCCATTCACAACTCACTTTTAGCATTCCCTTAGTTTCAAAGGAGGCCTACCATGTGGCATAGGAAAAACAATCCATTGTTAACACCCACCCCCCATCTAAATCTTCCTTGGGTACACAAAACTAGTTGCCCATTTCTCTGAATTCTAGGAGCCCTGTGATTATTATCAGGAGTAAGTTATAACTATAAATTCTACAAATCTGGTAGAATTCTATAAATAGCATAGTGGTTAACTAACATAATTACAGTTGTATAAATTATTAGGGAAGCAGTAGGAATGAAGAAATCTCTGAGTAGGGCAAATATACAGCAAAAATAATTAAATAGCTTGGAAAGACATATTAGTACGTATTCATTCTAGCAAACCTTAAAAACAGATTCCAAGACAACTATATTGGGTGAAGCAAATGATATCAATAACCTGGAATGAGACCAGTGAATGTGTGTGGTCTGAAAAACCAGGCACAACTGGGGGAAGATTCCAGAGATACAGACTGAAAAACCTCATGGGCTAGATGATACCTAGCCCTGCCTTTCAGGTTTGTTGTAGAGAGTACTAAGATTATGTATGTGAAGTGCTTTCAACATTTACCTATATTAATTACTTCTGTTCCATTTAGACAGTATTTATGAGACAGATGTAAATGCCCAAGATATTTAAAATACAATTTATCCATTTAAATGCTACCCTGAGAATACTGTTTTCTTCTGAACATAATTGAAAATACATCACAAATCAATAGTTTAAATCTTGAAGGCTATCTTTCAAATGTATTGCAATTCAGATAAGGAAGTCATTACATAATACTAGAGAGGCAACAAATGTAAGAAGACAAGGATTGCAATTCACTTGTTGTATTTGCGCTTGTATAGTAATTTGCAGTAACCTCAAGTACTTTAAGGATACATGATCTGGGTCCTTGGGAGATCATGAGATAGTTATCCAAAATGGCCCAGAATGTGATGCACTGCCAATGGTACCTTCCAACAAAGAAGTCAAAGAAAAATTGTATTCTTACCTTACAAATGAGCTTGCAAGAAGCCCAACTAAAGCCACTGCTGCTCCAACAACAGCTACTTTTCGGCAGCTGAATATGTTGGTAAATACACTGACTATGGGCGAACAGAAGAAGATCATTCCCATGGACAGGGAATTCACTAATGCTGTAGAAAAGATAAAGCATAAAAAAGTTTAAGCATATAAAAGAGTAAACATAAAGAAGGTTCAGCATATGAAGGCATATTTTATTGCATGATGTAATACCATATAGTGGAATTGTTACTCTAGTTTAAGAGAACTTAGAAAATCTATTGAGACATTTAAACTACTAACCAGCAACATGTTGTATCATCAGTTTGAAAAACATAAGATAGACCTCAAATGAAACATTGCATTAAATAGTTGTGTAACTCCTATTTTGTTGTGCAAATGAAATGGGAAGACTTATTCAATCCAACTGCATTTTATGAAAAAGGAGTTACATGACAAAAGGAAAATTATCTGGAAATTGTGTAGCTATATGTTTGAAAGATCAATGCTATTTTAAGAATCTGAGACTCTGACCTAGAGATATAAAACTCACAATCATGCCCAAAAATATTAGACATAAATGGAAGCTGAAAAGGGAAATGCAAGTATTCATTTAAATAAATGAATGTATTTATTATTTATAAACTGTTTTTAACTTATTAAGCAAAATCTATCAGGACAGCATTTCGTAAATTTCATTGTTATGACAGTAAGCCAGCATATTTGGTATAATCATAGAGGCAAAGGAATTGAAGTAACTTTGAGGAAACCAAGACGATAGCAATTTTCCTATTTGTATATGGCAACCAAGAATGGGAAAAAATGACTAAAGCAAAGAAAGGCAGAAATAAAATAAACACATTTCCGAATGTCAAGGCCTGAATCACACATAACAACCAAGGTTGCAAACTCTACAGGGAGGTTTAACTATGGGTACTTAACCACAAACAAGCTAAAGCCCAACAAAAATGGGATCTTTTCTTTGGTATTTTATGGTTAACAACCTCTAGTTTATTCGTTTGTTTATTTAAAATTTTTGAATACCATCCACTACCAAATGGTGCAGTCCCTTGGAGAGCAACCCTGACTGCTCTTTAGAAGGCCAGATACTGAAGATGAAACTCAAATACTTTGGCCACCTAAGGAGAAGGAAGGACTACCTGGAGAAAAGTCTAATGCTGGGAACAATAGATGGCAAAAAAAGAAGGGGACGGCAGAGAATAAGGTGGCTAGATGGACTCACTGAAGCAGTTGGTGTGAGCTTAAGTGGACTCCGGGGGATGGTGGAGGACAGGAAAGCCTGGAGGAATGTTGTCCATGGGGTCGCAATGGGTCGGACACGACTTTGCGACTAACAACAACCACCAAATGGTTTCGAGAGGGTCTTACAATAAAACAAAGTGGAGCACAGCTTCCATTCTATATAATAAAAACCCATTTAAAATTTCATTTAAAATCTCAATCAAAACCTTAAAATACTGGGAAAATAAAAAGGTTTCATCCTGGCACCAAAAAGAATAAAGTGTTGGCACCAGGCAAACCTCTCTGGGGAGTATATTCTATAACTAGGGCACCACCACGGAGAATGCCCTTCTCTGGGTAGCAACCCTCCTAGTTTCCTTCTCCTGGAGAAGACCTGCAACCCAGATCTTAAGGGGCGGGCAGGCACATAGGAAGGAGATGCTCCTTCAGATATCCAGGTCCTAAGCTGTTTAAGGACATCACCAGTACCTTAAATTGGGCCTAAACTTCAATTGGTAGCCAGTGAAAATGGTAAAGGACCAGCATTGTATATGCATATCTGCTGGTCCCTGTTAACACCCTGGCTGCTCTGTTTTGAACCAACTGAAGTATTTGGACCGTCTTCAAGAGCAGCCCCATGTAGAGCACATTACAATAGTCCAATTGGGAAGTTACCAGAACATGGGTCACGGTTGCTAGGTTCTGCTCATCCAGATAATGGCGCAGTTGATGAAGCAACTGAAGCTGAAGGAAAGCACTCCTTGCCACAGTGGCCACCTGGAACTCCAGGGACAGCTCTGGGTCGAGGACCATTCCGAAACTGCACACACTGTCCTTTAGAAGGAGTGCAACCCCATCCAGAACAGGGCTAAAACCACTTATCTGGAAGGCTGAACTGCCTAACAATAGGACCTCCATCTTGTCTGGATTAAGCCTCAGTTTACTGGCCCCCATCCAACCCATCACCCTGGCCAGACACTTGTTAAGGACAGTCACTGCCTCATCTGGATTAGATGTAAAAGAGAGGTAGATCCGGGATGTCATCAGTGTACTGATGTGCAGCCCAAACCCCCGCATGACCTCTCCCAGCATGCTCTTTAACATGTAGATGTTAAAGAGCATGGGAGATAAAATGGAACCTTGCGGAACTCCATGGAGAAACTGCCATGGCACAGAGCCACAATCCTCCAGCACCACCTTCTGCAATCGGCCAGCCAAGTAGAAGTGGAACCACTCAGCCAGTCTATCCAGAAGGACACCATGGTCAATGGTATTGAAAGCAGCAGAACCGACAGGGACACACTCCCTCTGTCCCTCTCCACTGTACAGTGAAAACAAGGGGATTTCAGTCCCATAGCCAGGCCTGAAAACAGACTGGAATGGGTCCAGATGGTCAGTTTCCTCCAAGAAATCCTGGAGCTGCTTGGCCACCACCTGCTCGAGCACCTTGCCCAAGAAAGGGATGTTAGCCACCGGTCTATAGTGGGTGGCCAACTCTGGGTCCAGGTTCGCCCTCTTCAGGATGGACTGCATCACCACCTTCTTCAAAGGGGTGGGGACCCAACCCGACCCTCCCTCAGAGAAGTGTTAACAACCACCTGGACCCAGGTATAAATCCCATCCTTGGCTTTGTAATGAGTAGTCATAAAGGGCAAGGGTCGAGTAAACAAGTGGTGGGTTTGACTTGTCCAAGCACCTTGTCCACATCCTCAGGGCACAACAATTGAAACTCATCCAATAAAGATGGACCAGATGGTGCTCTGGACACTTCCTGTTCTAGGACCACATCAACTGTAGAGCTCAGCTTGTGGCAAATCTGAGCAATTTATTCCTGAAGTACTGGACAAAGTCATCACAGTGAGCCAATGAAGATACAATAAGGTCAGTTTTTGGTCCAGAGTGTAACAGGCCCTGCACCACCCGAAAAAGCTCAGCTAGATGGCATTGTGAAGATGCAATGGAAATGGAGAAGAATTCCTTCTTCGCCACCCTCACCACCATAGCCTAGGCTCAATAATGAGCTCTAAGCAGTGTTCAGCTGGATTTGGCACAGGATTTCCTCCACCTATGGTCTAGTCGTCTCCCAGCCTGCTTCATCGCCTGTAACTCAGGCATGTAACAGGGTGCCATGTGGGCTCTGCATGGCAGAAGAGGACCATGTTGATCAGCTGGGTCATGTCTCCATTCCATAAATCAACCAGGGCATTGACAGGAGTGCCAGCCCTGTCAACCAGAAATTCCCCCATAGCCCTCAGGAATCCATCAGGATTCATAAGACTCCAGAGGCGGGCCATTTTAATAGGCCTTATGGAGGGTAAAACTGGCCCCGAGTTTAAACCTCACAAGGAGGTGATCTGACCATGACAAAGGGGTTAACATCAGATCCCTCACTTCCAGATCACTATCTTCCTGCCCCATTGAAAAGACCAGGCCCAGAGTGTGACCGCTTTTGTGTGTTGGGCCAGTGATGTCTTGAGACAGCCCCATGGATGTCATAGTGGCCAAGAAGTCCTGAGCTGCCCCGGTCAGAACAGCCTCGGCATGGAAGTTGAAGTTCTCCAGGACCAACATCTTGGGGATCCTCAACACCAGGTGTGAGACAATCTCCATCAGCTCCGGCAAGGAGTCCATTGGGCAAAAGGGTGCATGGTACACCAGCAGAATCCCCAATCTGTTTTGATCACCCAACACCATGTACAAACACTTGAGACCAGGACTTGAAGGGATAGGAAGCCCCGTGAAAGAGACTGAATCTCTGCAGTTTAACCATAGTGCAGGGTTTGCATGTGATAACAAGCTATGATTCAACAGCAACACTCAATTTAATGAGAACCCATATTCCTTTATACTTTGAACTGTCCTTACAAGTGAACCTGGTCTAAGTAAGAAGGTGAGGCTCATGTCAAAGAAATAGAAATGCACGTGCCTTTGCTCAATCATGAGCAAGAATGAGTTTACATACAAAAACCATTAAAAATCCATGATTGCCTTTATTTTAAAAGTGGTAAGCTTTAAAATGTAGTTAATATTACATTCAACAGTATATAAAAATTGGTGCTGTGGAAGGAGACATGTAAGAATAAGTACAGAAAAGTATCTAGTAGATCAGTATCTTCAAGATATGGGATAGAACAAGGCTAATGCTCTGTGGGTTATATAATGACCTCAAAGAACTAATGAAGAAAGAAAATTCAGCATCGAAGGACAGGACTTTCACCATTTCTTTATCAAAAAAACAAAACTCAACTAGATAATGTAATCCTCCTCATTACACTAGCTATATAAATTGGTTTTTTTTAATTACTTAGTCACTTCCACTAGAGTTCCTTGATTCAACACAGAGAATGCAGAATTCAACCCCTCACAGTTTAACAAAATGAAACAAAACTTTCATTCCTGAAAATAAAAGGAAAAGTAAGGCTCTACTGTTCTTCACACAATATTAAATTTCAGAGTCTTCTGGGAAAGGTATAGCATATCCTTCAAGCACCATTATAACTTTTCGCAGGTTATCTGTTTATGAGTCAAGCCTATGCTAACAAATCATTTCTAGAGATTCAAGTTCATTATTCTAATCTTTACAACTGTACATTAAACTGAAATGTTTATCACTAGAGTGAAGGACACAGTTCAGTTTTCAATAATTTAAATCATTGTATGAAAAATGAATCCAGTTATAGGACCAGTTTGAGCAGCATAAGCAATATACAGAGGAGATGGAGTGTACACACATGCATCCAATGCTATTATTAAAAAAATGCAAATGAATTTATCATTGGCAGCCAGCATCTCAATACTGCCCATGAGCAGAGGCTCTAATCACAACACAATCTGCATGTGTGTGTGTATACATGCCTGTACACACTCCTTCCAGCAATGGGAGCTGCTGTAC